ACTGTGGGGGAATTAATTTTAGTGAATAAATTTTAAGCCAGGATCAAATCTAAAATTATTATATCTTTACAACTATGTTATCAAAATTCACCAAACTTGGTGAGACATATGCTTATACACCACATTATTTGAAAATGCAAAAACTTGGAACAATTTTACCCAGGTAAATACAGGTGTGGCTCAGGTAAAAATTATAAACCAAGATAAAAGTATTTTGTTTTCTCAAAAATTTATTAATTTAAGAAAAAACAACATAAATAATGAATTTTGGAAACAACAAGTTAAAAGTTTAAAAAATAAAATGGAGTATCACGGGTGAAAATACAGGTAAATTGAGGTGTACTAAGAAATATACAAATTGTCACTAAATGTTTCACTAACCATTATAAATTAAAACATTTCAAATGATAATAACTGTAACAGCAACAACAATGGGGAAAACTGCATTTACAGGTAAATACAGGTAAATTCAGGTGCAATGAATAAATAGGCAACTTGTGTATACAATTTCTTCAATTTAAATGAAACCTAACAGGATAAAAAAAAAAATTGAACAAATCAATATTTAGTTGAGAGGATTATTTGATCAAAATTGCATCACAGGTGGAATACAGGTAAATAGACTTACAGTTCAGGTGTATTAAAGCAATTAGCATAGACCTTTATAGCAGTTTCAAAGAAACCAGAAAAATTTACAGAAATATCAACAGACAAATAATACTATTTGATCAAAATTGCATTACAAGTGAAATTCAGGTGCAACTAATGAACACATTTTCAATCACCAATTACAAAAAAATATCAACAATCAATAATATCATTTGGTCAAAGTAGTGTCACATGTGGAAATACAATTAAATTGAGGTGTACTGAAAAATGTACAATTTGTCCCCAATTTTTTCAGTAACCATTTTAAATTAAAATATATCAAATGGTAACAACTATATAATCGCAACAACAATGGTGAAAACTGCACTTACAGGTAAATACAGGTAAATTCAGGTGTAATAAATAAATAAGCAACTTGTGTACACCATTTCTTCAATTTCAATGAAACATAACAGGATAGAAAAAAATCAACTTTTAATAAATTCAATATTCAGTTGAGAAGACTATTTGATCAAAATTGCATCATCTGGTGAAATACATATAGGCTTACAATCCAGGTGTATTAATGCAATTAGCTACATATTTTCAGCAGTTTCAAGGAAAACAGAAGAACCTGCAGAAATATCAACAATCAAATTATACTATCTAATCAAAATTGCATTACATGTAAAATACAATTGCAATTAATGAACACATTTTCAATTACCAATTACAAAACATATCAACAATCAATAATGTCATTTGATCAAATTGCAGCATTACAGCTATAATACTCATACCAGTATATTGGTAATACTAAATGTTTTCTTCATTTTCAGATAAACTATAAGCTTTACATTTAGCAAAATATTGGCACTCTTTTACAAACTGAAGCTTTCAATAATTAACATGTTTACTTTAGTTTAAATGATAACCAGGAAAACATCTGCGGCATAGACCCACTCCACACTCTCGACACCATGAGGTTATACGCGTACCTTTAAACCCTACATCCCTTGATTGTGCACAGCTCACACACTGTTTACACTTTTTATCAGGAATAGATTCTAGGTAATGCTGTATGCTAGAAGGGGGGTTGGATGGCTGAATGGTCAGCGTGCGCGCGCTGTATCATAAAGCCTGTCATTGAGTCGACTGGCGTGGTTTCGAATCCCGGTTGTACGTTACAAGGAGTAGGGTCGCCTGTCCAACCTTGTGGGTTTTCTCCGGGTCCCCCGGTTTCCTCCCACTGCTAAAGACCCCTACGCGCAAGCGAATTATTGAAATAAAATTAAACCATATGTTAGTCCCGAAATGACCTAGTTTGTGTCGAGTGGACGTTAAACCCCATTTGTCTCTCTGTATGCTAGAAAGTACTGTTTTGAGTTGTGAGGCTGGGACGACCAATTTTTCGGCGTGGCTGTTTATAGCCATTTATAAGTCCGTCTACTAACTGGATCATGAAGTTGAGATGATTTAGGTTTTTTTTCCATTTATATTCTTATTGTTCTTATAGCACAAATATGCATTAGTAACTGTTCTGCCTATAAGATGAAAAACAACTTTCCGCCAGCACTTTATTCTCAATTCTGCTGCGTAATGATCTGTCATTTGATCACTGAGGTCAACCCCTCCCATACTGTGATTGTACTCGTTCACTAACTGAGGAACGAGTCTGTTGTCTTTCTTAGTTAGCTTGACATCATTAGCGGAACCATGCGTTGTTAAAAACCTAACTTGTCTGCGATCGTACCAATTGACTGCCAACAACTGACCTTTGCGTACAGCAATAACTTCATCTTTTTTTTTAAAGTTTGTTTGATTCCTGGGGGCAATCCCTTACGGTTTGAACGAACCGTGCCTGTAACATATATTTAGACAACATATTATTACATAAGTCTATACTTGTATAGTAATTGTCTACAATTAAATGATGATACTTTCCACCGTGGTTTCTCAACAATTTATCACATACATCATACGGCTGTCCATATTGTGAAGTTTTTATACTTGATGTGTGGTATAAGGTCTGATACAAATATCCAGTCCTAGAATCAGACAGGTTATATTCCCTTGGTCCCCACTGATGATGTTTTTTAATTCTTATGTAGTTCACAAGATCGTGTCTGCCCTTAAAACCAACTATGCTTTCATCTATACTTATGTTACATGACAGAAGATATGCACGTGCCCAAGACGTATTAAAACGGACTGAAATTTGTAAATGGGATTATAATTAAAAGTTCCTTTTTTCGGCTCCATCGAACTGTCGCTGACATGAAAACAACGGAGTAGTTTAAAACTTTCATACGTGAAAGTGTTTCTAAATATTGGTGTCTCTTGGGATAAGTCTTTCACATTTCAATACTGTTCTAATGTATGCTTTCGTACCAAGCCCATATTTATGATCAACCCGATAAACGCTCTCATTTGATGGACATCAGTTGGAATCCATAAATGCAGTCTATATCTGGGCGGTATATTTTCATATTTATCATATCTATATTGAAAGTATTTGTTTCGTCTACAAAAAACTGCCAAAGAGATTTATTATTTGTAAAATTGGTTGATTCAAAAAATTTATCAAAATACTTCACAGGTTCATGACAGTTCTCTGGATTCCACACAGGACCGGACTCGGCTGTAAGATTTGGGGCCTGTCATTTTGCCTATCATTCACATGTACCCAAATGTCGTCTAATTGGTCTTCTGTACCAAAATATCATCTTGATGTACTACTGTTTCAACGTCATTAGGCCTAATATTTATCGTCGACTCCGTCGAGCATCTTCTTGGGTTTTTTTTACATTATTTACATCTCGTTCTTGACAATCTCGATCTGATTCACTTGAATCTGACTCGTATGCAGACAGTTCATCAATGTCAATATCGCTGCCACTGTCAGACGAACAATTTTCTTCATCAGAAATATGGATCATGTCAACATCGTCTACAGTAAACGTATTAGGGCGAGGACGCTTACGGGGTTTCGTGGCAGACGCCATGTTATTGACAGCCCGAGGCCGTCTGTTTATGTTATCGCTAAGTAACGGTAATATCCGGCTTCAAATCAAAACAATATAAGAGTTACCGTTCTTATAAATTAGATCATGCATTTCTTTCACCCATTAGTTGATAAAAATAGAATTATCTCATACAGCCAATCGTGTACATTGTTACTTTGGCGACTTACGGTGAAACGACATTAATGTCGCTAACCCGTAAAGCGCGTGTGTCGGAAAACGACATTAATGTCGTTATCCCCCTATTAAGGGAACTCAGTTTATCCGTGAGGGGTTTCCTTCCGGCTGTGAGGATATGAGTAGGAGACACGTCCGAGCCACAACTGCATCTTATAGGCTTAAATGTGCGATATCTGAGCGTTTCTTTCACCTTCAGCTTTGTTATTAACCGGCAGATTTTTCTGCTGGGATGATTTACTGATAACTTAGCATTTAAGGGGTCGACACAATCTTAGTCGGGATCTGACAGTGAAATGTATTGAAATAAAATGAAATGGGGGTTTAACGTCCTACTCCGACTGGGTTACTGAAGGCAGTATGCCAGAAGGGAAATTTTCCTCGGTCAGCGGCACGAAATGAAATTTGAACTGTCAAGAGTTATTTTACATGCTCGCCAATGTACTAGGGGCCTGGGTATTGATATCAGCATGCATCCGTCATAGACAACGCTACCGAACATCCAGACAGAATTCAGCGTAGTTTGTTGGAAAGAGATAACAAAAAAAACTTGGCCTATGTGCTCTAATGAATGATGGGTCACACGCATGGTTCTTGACCTTACTACTGGAAACAAACACAGATAGCTTTGCCATGAAGTCAAAGGGCCTCTTTTCTTACAGGACACAGAGGGTCTCTTTTCTTGGACTTGGGGCACTTCAACTGGATTTGGTGTTTCCTTTTAGTTTAATTTTTGGATATTTTCAAATAAAAAAAGTTTAGTACACTTTCCAATATAGGCCTATTTATATAATAAATCTCCCCAGAGAGGTTCTCGCAAGATACTTGAATCGATATTTTGGTGCGTAACATCCACTCGACACAAATTAGGTCATTTCAGGACTATAACTCATTCATTTCAATAATCAGTTTGTGCGTAGTGGTCTTTAGTAATGGAAGGAAACTGGAGTATTGGACGAACAACCCTACTCCTTGCCACGTACGAGCGGGAAATCGAAACCTTGACACTTGAATTATGATGCAATGCACACACGTTAACTCCCCCCCCCCTCCTTTTCAATTCTGAAAATTTAATGAAAGTCAAGATTCTTTTGATTTAAATATTGTGATAATTTCAGTCCATAAAGTATAAATCAAATATAATTACAGGCCTCATTTCTGGCTCTGATACGTTGACAGGTCTGCCTGTGTTCACATAAAAAGACATCATGATATAATATCAAATCTTTATTACAGGAGTAATGGCTTTTCTGGTGACATATATAATTTAAACAATAACTGATAATTAAAGTATGAGAAAAATATCTATTTGATATAAGGTAAAACATAATCTATTACAATCTGATACATGTAATTACAGAATGAGAAAAATATCTCTTTAATATAAGGTAAAACATAATACATTGCAATCTGCTAATTACAGTATGAGAACCAGCGGTTGCCAGGCAAGATACGCCGATATTTTGCAAGAGATGGATTGAGAACAAGCAAAAAAAAGCTATTTTTCATACAATCAGGGGCCATAATCCAGGAAGTTATGGTCTGAAATGCGCGAATATCGACATGGACTGAGATATTTGGGATATATATTTTAAGTTTCATCAAAGTTTGCGTACGAGGGGCGGCCATTTTGTCCGACAGTTTCTATCAGATTTTCAGAAAATTCGAACTCAATCATCATAAGGGCGTAACGGTGATATATTCAAACTTTTTCTTTTTAAATTGGATAAAAATTATGACCTAGAGGGACCACAAGCTAAAAACGAGATTTTTCGTACACTCAAGGGCCATAATTCAGAAAGTTAAGATCCGATAAGCGCGAATATCGAAAGGAACCAAGCTCTTTGAGCTATAAACATGCATTTCAAATTTCATCAAAATCAGATGATAATTGTGACCTAGAGTGTCCACACGCTAAAAAGGTGACTTTTCGTACAATCATGGGCCATAATCCATGAAGTTTCAATCCGATACATGTCAATATCGAAAGGAACCTAGATCTTTTGGAGATAAACCTATATTTCAAGTCTCGTCAAAATCGGATAAGAATTGTTACCTGTATAGTGTCCACAAACAAATTGTGAATGGACGTCCGAACGGACAGGGGTGACGACAATATACGTCCACATGAAAATGTGGGCGTATAAAAATATCTCTTTGATATCAGGTAAAACAAAAACTATTACAATCTGATTACAGAATGAGAAAAATATCTCTTTAATATAAAATAAAACATAATACATTACATTGGAAATGAGGCTAATTGAGATGACATCACGCGCTGGGTGGAAATTCAACAGATTTGAAATTATATTACAAATGACTTGGGTGAAAATTAAAATTGACTTGGGTGGAAATTATATAAAAAAAATATTATAATTGACTTGGGTGGTAATTAAAATTGACTTGTGTGGAAATTAAAATTGACTTGGGTGAAAATTATAAAAAAACAAATTATATTAAAATTGACTTGGGTGAAAATTATAAAAAACAAATATTAAAATTGACTTGGATGAAAATTATAAAAATCAAATATTAAAATTGACTTGGGTGGAAATTATAAAAAAAACAAATTATATTAAAATTGACTTGGGTGAAAATTATAAAAAACAAATTATATTAAAATTGACTTTGGTGAAAATTACAAAAAAAACCCCAAATTATATTAAAATTGACTTGGGTGGAAATTAAAACTGACTTGGGTGAAAATTATAAAAAACAAATTATATTAAAATTGACTTGGGTGAAAATTATAAAAAACAAATTATATTGAAATTGACTTGGGTGGAAATTAAAATTGACTTAGGTGAAAATTATAAAAAAACAAATAATATTTTTTCATGTCCCTTATAAGCCACTGTAGTTACGCTAACGTTCGTTCTAAATTTCGGAATTATCTACTCATTGTGATGAGTGTTGCCCATTTCGACCCTCGTTCCCGAAAGTAGACTTCCTTGTACTTTAATTGGAGTGCACGGGGTTGGATAATTATCCGAATCAAGCAAACGATTTGTGTGAAAAAGCTGTATTTAACGCCGCCTTCTACCAAAGTGATATCGCCGAATTGACATTTTAAGCGACAATAACGGATTGGCGAATATCTATATTTAAAAGGACTGAGATATAAAGAAATTGGCAGAAATTAATGGTGTTGCTTTTATAATACAATTACATGCATATATAAAGTGGGTTTGATTAAAATATAAATTAAAACAAATAAATAGATGGTCTGAACGGGGGATGGCGTATGAATGAAGAAATTAAAAGGGGTTTAACACCTATTTTGTTCTGACTGGGTTAATGAGGACGGGATTTACGAAAGAACTATTGGCTATAGAGAACTCGATTAGTCCAAAAGGAAACCCACTGTTTCGTTAATAGACTAGAATTATCAACAGAAGAAAGGGGAGCGGATGTTTAAACACTTGAATAGACTTATTAAAGCGAAATGTTCAACGAGAACTCTGTCATTAACTCTTGGAAGATCCAAGTACGAAAATGGCCTTTCCGCCCCCTTAGCTACTTTAACCCAATTTTGAAATAGAGCTTCGGTAGGGTCCACGGAGGCTTTTCTATTCATTCAGTAGATGTGATCACCTCGAGGGATTAGGCACTGATCAGATTTACTTGATGAGTTGTATCGTGCAAAACACAACACAACACTTGTGTCACGTGCGTGACCTCACACAGCGAGTGCCATATGACCAAATACCTCCTTATAAAATAGTCCACCCCTTTCTTCGTTAACAGAAATAATATGATAATTATAATAAACATTTTTATCTTAAGTTTATTGGAGTTGACCTACTTGCATAATTTTACTTTTTAATGAGTTAATACCTCGTTATAAAATAATTCACCCTTTCCATTGTTAGCAGAAATAAGCTGATAATTATAGTGTTAAAAGTTTTTATCTAAATTTCTTTTGGTGTTGACCTATTTGCTTAATTTTACTTTTACTTTTTTTTAATATAATGAGCGAATAAATTATATTTGAATACGTCAGGGCGGCAATATGACGATTGCTTCAATATAACATATTTTTTCGTCGTATACAAAACAGTGAATTGGTTGCCGTCTTTGTGAAATAGAGAAATATTCAACCCTGAAACATGCGTTGGGTATAATTTTCCAATGAGTTACGTAGACATTTTATCTAGTTGACTGAGAGCCTCGTTTTAGTTGCGAACCTTCAATGGATAACGGTTACAAAACGGCGGTTCAGAATTTTCAGCTATATATTTTGGAATTTAGAAATGGTCACACCTCGTCATATTGAGTGACGCGTATGTGTATGGCGTGAAAATATCTTAGGGTGGGTATGGTTTATTAACTATTAGGAAGTTATACTTTTTTGCCAAAATTATGTTTTAGATTAGTTTTCAATTTTAACCTTCTGGGTTAGTCACGGCTCTAGCAACCTTCAGCAGACGCACGCTAGATCTTAGTATGTGGAGTAGACAGTACTGACAACTAATGGGGTGACAATTTTAGTAAAACTTGGGATAAACACATGAATATTCTCGGACAATATTTTTCGAGGCTACGGTCTTATAACATAACGGCTAGACGTAAACATTGGTCGTAATATGCTAGAAATTTTCTAAAATGCCAAAATAGAAAAAAAACTACCTAAATGTTAAACCATCGGCATCGAAGACTCCTTAGGCCTGGTTGTTTCTTGGAGTAGCTTTGATTCTGTGGTCTAATGTCAGTGACACTGGATTTGGCACCATTGTGCATTTACAATTAATATTTGCCTATGTCAGTAACATATATTACTGAGGAAGCAATATATTATCTTATATTAATATCACTTATTCGCTTTTTATGAGGGATAAATAATTTTATTGTTGAAAATGATTATATTAAAGATTTAATAACAAAATAAGGAAATGGACACTAATTTGCTTTACATCAACTCGGGTCTCAGAAAAGCGGAAGGAAATTCTGGAGCAGATTATTATATATTTTTTTAACAAAGTTCCGAAATTCCTTTTGAGTTGGTGCCGTACGTCAAATGATTAATTAGTGTGACTTGCCAGTAGTTGTATTACAAGTTCACAAGTAGTTTATATTTCGGATGAATGATAACATTTGCCAAGATTGAATGTTTTATGTTTACATGTAGGATTGCATTGTGTGATTGGTTGTGATTGAGACTGGTGTAAAGATACATTATTGGAGATTAGATAGAGAGCTGGTAGTTCTCACTACGATAGTAAAAAACTAGATAATGTAAAGGGAATTTGCTGAAAATTTCAGTCAAATTGATCCACTCTGAACCGAGATTTTTGCGATTGAATTTTCGGCCTAGCCTCGATCATTACTAAAGTGGGTACAATAAAGTTCCGATTATCCATTTCATGATTAAATCGGAACCTAATCCAATAAACATCTCAGGCTAGCGATGACACAGAGAGTTGAGTTGATAATGGTCTGGATAAGTTCATTAATGTCTAATTTAGATAACTTTTCAGGCCTAAAGAAATACCTGTAATAGGCAGATTTAGCTCTTGCATAATTTATGTTAGGTGGTGAGATATGAATTGTTTTTATCACTATAATGATTGTTGAAAAGTTTGTCATTCATATATGTATTAAGATTTCAACTAATTTGTTAGACGGTCATAATTATTATAGTGATCTTGCTGGGTAATATAATAGTTTATCAGTTCTGTGATTATTCTATGATTTTGAAATGTTGATATTATTGGAGATGGAGGATTGATTCTTTAGTTATTTGTTTTAAAATTGCATCATATTTTGTATAATCACAATAAAACAAATAGGTCACCAATATGACCATGTTTAATTCATCTTGTAAAAATGTGCAACGGGGATTCGTTTCATCGTTATCTCAGACATAAAAATGGATTGCGTATGGTTTCGTGTATTTTGGCGTAAACTACATTGCAATTAAACAATATATATATGTCATGTTTTCCTAAGTATTATTTATTGTATTATATTTTCATAAAAATATATTTAAAGTACTGTAAAATGTGTTTTTCTTTATGTGGGTTAAATAAGTCCGTCGATTTATCCAAACAGAGCAGAAAATCCAATTTTGTCGCACATGTTTGTTTAGTACTATGAATTTCTACTTCTTACTGATATAAAATTTGAGAGCACTAAACAAAGCCTGTTTTACTGGATTACTGAACTTTGCAGTCCTCGTTTACCGTCCTCTGGCCTGAAATAAAGAAACGGGACATCTCATTACGAAAATCATCCGATACTACAATAAAATCAAAGGTTATAATTCCCAACTATAGTTTTGGTTTTCTTCTGTGTTACACCGCTCATGACTGAATACAACAATTTTTCCCAATGTTGGATTATGACGCTTTATGATCTAAAGCATACCCATTAGACCACCGACCACCCGAGTCACCCCGTACATTTAGAATGTAGTGTTTGAGGGATTTATTTTAATCTAAATCGTTTTAGTTATAGCATTCGATGTTTAGTGGGGTATTTTATTTTGCGCTCGGTGGTCACCGTGGATTCGGATTAAAACTGGTTCGGTGACAAAACCTATTAAACTTTCGAACAGTAAAGAAAGCCCTGGGTACCTATCAGTCAGGTCGTTCATGGGGGGGGGGGGGTAACATTTATGGATAACGCAAACAGTTATGCGACCTTCCAGGATACTAAATCTGAGCAGGTTTGTTTCTTAAGTGCCCCCCCCCCCCCCCCATACACACACTCCAACGAATAACCAGCGGCTGCCAGGCTGGATATGCCCGAATTTTGCGAGATATGGATAAAGAACAAGCTAAACAAAAACCGATTTTTTGTACAATCAAGGGCCATAATTCAGGAAGTTGCGATCGGATATGCGCGAATATCGACAGGAACCAAGATCTTTGGGTTATAAGTTTTCATCAAAACCGGATCAAAATTCTGGACTTCCAGAGGGTCCACAACCTTGATATACCATATATTTACACTACATAAGTACGAGGGGTGGCTATTTTGTCCGGCAGTTTTGGTCCTATTTTCTCGAAATTCAAACTCAAGCTTCATTGCAGTGTAACGGTGATATATTCGAACGTTTTTTAAATCGGATAATTGACCTCTAGAGGGACCACAGCCTTGATATACCATATATTTACACTATTTGCGTACATGGGGCGACGATTTCGTCCGGCAGTTTTGGTCTGATTTTCACGAAATTCGAACTCAGCCGTCATTAAGGTGTAACGGTGATATATTCAAACTTTTTTTTTTAAATAGGATAGAAATTGTTACCTCTAGAGGGACCACAAGCTAAAAACGCGATTTTTCGTACAATCAGCTGCAATAATTCAAGAAGTTACGATCCGATATGCGCAAATATCAAACGGAACCAAGATCTTTGCGTTATAAACATGCACTTCAAGTTTCATCAAAATCGGATGAAAATTGTGACCCAGAGTGTCCACAAGCTAATCCACGAAGTTATGGTCCCATATATGCCAATATCCAAAGGAACCGAGATCTTTGGGAGATAGACCTATATTTTAAGCTTCGTCAAAATCGAAAAAAAATTGTGACCTGTAGAGTGTCCACAAATTGTGGACGGACGGACGTCCAGTTGTGATTCTGGCTATAAAAAAATGTAATAAAAATACAGCCTTCACGCGTCTGTCATCGTGAATCGGGTTAAATGTGTTCAGCGACAAAATTTGTTAAGTTTTCGAACAGTGAATACTACTGAATCAGTTGAGTCTTTCATGTAGAGGTTTAACATATCACGCAATCTGTGTATTATGTGAATTTTCATCTGTCCTGGTTTGTTTCGTGTCCTCAATCCCCCCCCCCCAACAGCTTTCACATGCCGAGTGGTAGCACATCGGGTCAACCTAGCTGAAAATTGTACAAATTTTCTCCAATCTGATATCAATGCATGCATATCTGGTATCATCAGAATGTAAGTCTGCCTGGTATCTGGCGGTGGGTGTGGTATTCCACGCCCAAAATGCCATGCCCCCAACTAGGCTAGATTAGCTCAAAAGTGTACCACATACAGCAGTATACCGTACATGTTCAGATATTACAAAAACACTGACAGACGTTGAAGTTGTTCAGTACAACTGCCAGACAGTTTGTGCAGTGGGTTACCACACAGGCACTTGAAGGGATTAAAATAAAATTTGTTACAACTGTTTGACTTGAAGGGATTAAAATAAAATTTGTTACAACTGTTTAACTATATATTACAGTATTAAGAAGGTGCATCACCCGACATTTTGTTTTGACTTGTTGACGGCATTTCGTCTGCTATCATTTCACAATACTTACTAGTTCGAGCGCTTCCCGTCGTTTTTATAGCCATCTAGACTTCATTTAATCCTTATACAGCTTCCAGTGTATTTAAATTTGTCATTTTACAACGTTACAACGTTATTAATTACAAATCAACCCCGAAGCGCTATCACATGGTCATTTCAAACTTCGTTGGACCGGAAATTACACGAAATGAGATCTCTGATGTCGCGTTGGGGAAGCCCTTATTCTTGATTGGTCGAGACGTGTTACTAAAACTAAAATTAACATTCATAGCTGACCGTGAATTAGGAATCTCAAAATAACAGCTGAATACTCTCATTAGTATGCACAATACCTGTGAAAATTGAATTGATCTCTCGTTTAGACAGGTAGTGTTAAAAAACTATATAATATTTTTTTGGAAAAAATATTTTGCCTTTTAAAATTTTAGTCAGCAAAATGAAGCGTAAAAAAACGATGTGTATAGTGCCACTCTAGTGTAGTCACTCTGCTTTACGCCCGCATTTTTTGTTTGTATGCACAGACAGCAACAACACGATGACGTTCCATTGCAACAAAATTGTGGTCAGTTTTTATAACCTCAAAAGCCTGGCTTTGCTCTGGAATTAATACCTGGCATTTTCACCCGACAAACACGCGGGTTTGTGTCTTGGTGCAGTCTGGGTCATCCAGTCCCTAGGCAAATTTCGCACAACGGATAGGTTAGTGAAGGCACTGGGTGAAACAGACTTACTAATAAAAACAAAAGGAAATTCTTTTGACCTCAATTCGTGCAACTTTCGGTCCAACGAAGTTTGAAATGGACATGTGATAGCGCTTCGGGGTTGATTTGTAATTAATAACGTTGTAAAATGACAAATTTAAATACATTGGAAGCTGTATAAGGATTAAATGAAGTCTCGATGGCTATAAAAACGACGGGAAGCGCTAGAAGTAGTAAGTATTGTGAGATGATAGCAGACGAAATGCCGTCAAACAGTTGTAACAAATTTTATTTTAATCCCTTCAAGTGCCTGTGGGTTACCATTACCAGACTCGCTCAAAGTGCCACGTCCCCAACTAGGATATATTAGCGGGCACAGTTCCCGTCGTCCAAAATTGTGCCAGGATGCGTAGAATGTATATATCTAGCACGTCTGGAAGAAGCGATAAACTGCTGTTGCGGGAACTTTTATTTTCAAAAACGCATTTTTAGCCCCAAAAACCGTTTTGCCCCAAAATAATTTCTTGCAACCGCAGTTTATTGCATCTTCCATACGTGCTAGGTATCAATATTCTACGCATCCTGACATTTACTTTTTTTTAGAACACGGGAACAGTGCCCGCTAATCTATCCTAGTTGGAGGCCTAAGTTTTTAGGGCGTGTCTGTTAGGGGTAACCCACCGCACAAATTGTCTGGCAGTGGGCATTCATGATTCCTGTGGTGATACTGAAAAACCCCAAAGCTGTTTTAGGTGGTACAGATTTCAGCTAATCTAGCCTAGCTGTGGTCTGGAAATTAGATAACTCTTGTCAGGGATACTCCCCCACTACAAATTTCTGGCAATTACATAGCTTTGTCAGGGGTACCCCATCACCAGAAATGTCTAAGTGTTTTTGTAATACCTGAAGATGTACGGTACACTTCTGTACGATTTTCATGTGGTACACTTTTGAGCTATTGTAACCTAATTGGGGTTTCTTTTTGGGGGGGGGGGGGCGTGGAGATGTCATTTTAGGCGTGGAATACCACGTGACCACACCCACCACTAGATACCCGGCAGACTTTTATTCTGATACCAGATATGCATACATACCATATAGGAGAAAAATTGTATACTTTTAAGCTAGGTTGACCCCCTGGGTTCCTGGTCTGAGTTCCAATCGGATTATAGATGCATTAAGTGTAGTTTAATGGTGAGTGCAGACATTAAGTAATATATTGATTATTGCACGAGTGCGTTTAGCTCGAGGGTTATATCTATATATATTACACACGAGACCATTAAACAACTTAAAATACAGCCACTATCCAGCACGTGCATTTCAATGAAATACGTCACGCGGGACCAATATTTCAACTAGTATAAATAATGTACCCTTGGCACATTGCCCGTACCATTATGTGCAATAATGGTACGCCATCAAAGGATGACGTCACATCTGTATTGTAAATTATCAGATTTCCCAGGGTATGTATAAAGGACAACATTGGTGTCAGTCATTACCACATATGATAGAACTGGTTTAATAGTTCCAAATATAATTTTAACAGATCATTGCTACGATGCGTAATCAAGGTTTCAACAAACGGAAGTGACGAAAGCAAAAGGGAAACAAGAGTTATCCTTCTATATAACTGACTGAAGTGACGAGTGATAACAGATACACGGGCGAATATCTGCTCACTAATAATTCCTTCGAAGACCAAAAGTTGTTATATGAGACTGTGAGAGGCTATAGGACAATTTAAAACAGAAATTGACTGCCACTAGAAAAGAAACTTTTAATCGTCCAAGGAATTATTAGTGAGCAGAAATTCGCCCTTGTTATCCCACTCGTCACTTCAGACAGTTATATAGAAGGATAACTCGTGTTTTCCTTTTGCGTTCGTCACCTCCTTTTGTTGAAACCTTCATTACACATCTATCGTAGCAATAATCTGTGTTACAAATTTATTTGGAACGTGTTTAACGAGTTCTATCACATGTGTGATAATTACTGACACAAATATTGCCCTTTAAGGTGTGGGCCAGTTCAAAATTCCCTTTGAATAAAACTGTGGAAATAAAACACTAACCCCGTCCACTTCTAGACCGTAATCTACGCTCGATACGCTGTTCACACATGGGACACTTCGATATCTTTAAAGCACATCTATCACAGACACACGTATGGTCACATGGCGATAATGTGATATCTGCTACTTTGGAAAAACAACTGGCACATGGCATTAGTGTCTGGTTTAAAAATAAACTGCGTGAAACTTGAGTAGTGGACCTGTGAATAATAAAAATAAGAACTCCTTTTTATAACATATTATTATTCTGGAATGACTTGTTTCAGCAAAATTGATTTCAACATCCATGACAATTTTGTTTTCAACTGTATCCGTTGTTATATTCCGCCTAGGGCACCTTTTATGCTCCATTTAGAATGTAATTAATGAAATAGAATGAATCTATTTCTATTGTCGGACATTTAGCTATGATTGTGTTCCTTCGAGGTTAGTAAGGTCACCTAGTGCAATCTACATATCATGACTAATCAGAAGAATAAACTAAAGGACACTTAAAATAAAAATAAACAGATCCTTATGTCAAGAACTAATTTGGAAAATGTTAGCAGGTATTAACTACATTGTGTACAGTGTAGCTTGTGGGTCAATCTGTAGTTGTATATGGACCCTACAAATGAAAATGGTATAACCGAGATAACCGGTATTTTTAATCTTCAGAAATTAAAAAAATTATACCTTTGTCGTACAAAATTTCTAACTCTGGCTTTAACCACCTCATCATTGCACAAATCTAACGGCGTTCTGCCAAATATATTCCGTTTTTCCAAAGATGCACCTTTCTGTATTAACAAACCAGCAATCTTAATACGATTCTCTCGCTTAGGTGAACCAAGACCCAATAATCTCTCAAGCTGTGAAAATAATGAGAAAAACATTATTTCCTGTTAAAAGATAGCCACATACGGTGTGAAAATGCACCCACAAAACATCTTTGTCTTAAGAAACAAGTCATTAACAGCAGCTTATCCGAAAGTAAAACTGGGTTGTTCATCAAATTTGACAAGAAGCCTTTATGCCTTCTAAAAATGTAGCTCGTGTCCGCGAGCTTATCGGAGGAAAAAAAGGGGGGGGGGGGGTTAACTCTAGAATTGAAGGTTACGGGTAGGGTTCAACCTTTCATTACTTCAAAACAAATTTGAAATTAGTCCGTAAAAACTGTTATCCATATCCCATTCTAAGTTGTCGCGGGAAAAGAAGGGCACGCAGTTCTGAATATCGACATGGTTTATCCCCCCATGACCCCAATGATTCATACCAAATTTGAAGTAAATCCATTTAAACTGTAGTTTCTGTCGCATTAAAAAAAATATTGAGTAAGTAACGGACAATATAGCAGACGCTATATTGAATAGACAGTGGTCCGGGCCACTTTTTGTTCGGGTGATATTTCGTGGTCATAAACACGACAATAATTTACTGCCAAAGGTCACCAAGAATATTAAAGGACAATATTGGTGTCAGTCATTATCACATATGTGATAGAACTAATTAAACACGTTCCAAATATAATTTTAACAGAGATCATTGCTACGATAGCTGAGTAATACAGGTTTCCTGAATCGGAAGTGACGAACGCCAAAGGAAAACACGAGTCGCCCCTCTATATAACTGACTGAAGTGACGAGTGATAACAGATACATGGGCGATTTCTGCTCACTAATAATTCCTTCCAAGACCATTCTTGTGCAAGATAGACTCGCGGGAACACGCCAACAGATAATTATTTAAATCTTTTTTAAAACAGAAATTATATGTATATATAGTCAATATCCATGGCTGCTGTGTCAGGTGAATATATGATAAAGATATTGTGACGTACCAGGTCTTCTCCACTGTCTCTGGAACTTCTATTTTCATGCAATGCCATGTGAAGAGGAGTGCTACCATTCATGTTCGTTGCATCAACTCTTGCGCCTTTTAATTAAATAAAATCGTTTTCAAATCATGAATGTCATATGAAAATATATAAGCCATTCTAATGTCTATTTTTTGCGGACATTACCGAAGTGGGCTAAAAGTTCTGTCATATATGACCAACCTGACCAAATATGCACGCCCCTACCTTAGGACTCATAAGGCTTGTAGTCCGGTCGCCAAACCCAATTTTTCGAGTGAACCTGGAAATTATATACAAAGTTTTTTTTATGATTGATTTTAGTAGCCTATGGTGTCATCTTTCAGAATCTGCCGGGTGAACCTCGGTCACCCTTGAGCGTTTTGAGAAATTCAAGATGGCGTCCAAGACGGCCGCCACATCAAATAATCCCCTATAGCTCCCATAGTATTTATTCTAGGATGATAATTTTGGTGTCTAACCGTATGTTTTTGGGGTCAAGGAATACACTGAAATCATGTATTATGTTGTGGGGTGATTAGATGATATTAAAACCAAACAAGCCAGAGAATATGGCCCTTTTACTAGTTAGCGGCGGTTGGGGGCAATTATTTCACCGAACCAAACTATATCAGGAGATAAACTATATATTTCTGGACATAAGAGCGTATGAGTGATAGGATAACACCACATTCATCCCTATCAGGGCATTCAGGGCCACATGGGTCGGTCCTGAAAAGGGAGGCACAAGCTGATTGTTTAAAATTAAAAAAAAACAAATTCTACCCGCAAAACAGGAACGTAACTTCCACAAAACTAGATAATATCCAGTTTAATACTTTAGTCGTGTTTCTGGCTGCAACCTGTGAAAGCACAAGCGCAATTATTGTATATTCTAAGCCCTCCCTAGTGCAGCTACAAGCACACGTACTACATGAGCTGTCACTATTGCATCCACATCTGATGAGCCACATGGCAGACTCCGGACCAAGTTTACCGGTTGTGATGTTTTCAATTTAGTGTCCTTCTCCCAGCAATACAGTTCCGGATCAAGTTCCGACGGATTCCGATCTTCCAGTGAACGCCACTCAATAGCTTAGCGATGTCGTATTGTTATGTTCATTGCAAATGCATCATTCGTTGGAGCTAGACTACATGATTTAGGTGGGGATGATGTCGATACATTTCCAGTTTTAGATGCCTGATACCTTCCAGCGTGTTTTAAGTCATCGGTTTGCAAGAGCTCGGTCCAAAATCACCAATCCAGGAAAGAACAGCAGTTGACATTGGTCAAACTACGGAGAAACACATGTCAATTATCATTGAAATCCTGCCAGCTCATTCTCTTACTGGATGTGACACGGGTACATGCGGCTACGTCGTGTAGAAATCAACAGTTTTTAAAGTGGTTAGAGCTTGATTGTATTCTCTCTCACCCCACTCGTCGGAGTAATAGACACTCCAATAGAATCATTGCTCACACAGTTACACAGGTCACTGTATTTATGTCAGCTTTTTTATGAACAGAGTTCTAAAAATCTGTCTGAAACACGCTGGAGGGTGTGGACATCTAAAGCTGGAAATGTATCGTCATTATTCTCCACCCAAACCATGTAATCTTGCTCAACGAATGATACATTTGCAGAGAACGTAAAAAGAGCTCATCACCAAGCTATTGTGTGGCGTTCACTGGAAGATCGGAATCCATCGGAACTTGATCTGGAACAGTATTGCTGGGAGAAAGATACCAAATTGAAAACATTACAACCGATAAACTTGCTCCGGAGTCTGCCATGTGGCTCATCAGATGTGGATGCAGTAGTGACAGCTCATGTAGTACGTGTTCTTGTAGCTGCACTAGGGATGGCTTAGAATATACAATATTTTGCGCTTGTGCTGTCACAGGTTGCAGCCAGAAACACGACTAAAGTATTAAACTGGATATTACTTAGTTTTGTGGAAGTTATGTTCCTGTTTTGCGGTTAGAAATAGTTTTTTTTAAAATGTTCAACAATCAGCTTGTGTCTCCTTTTTTCAGGACCGACCCATGTGGCCCCGGAGCCCCTGATAGGGCTGTATTTGGTGTTATCACTCAAACGCTCCTATGTCCAGAAATATATAGTTTGTCTCTAGATTTAGTTTGGTTCGGTGAAATAATCGCCCCCAACCGCCGATAACGAGTTAAAGGGTCATATTGTCTGGTATGTTTTATTTTAATATCATCTAATCACCCCACAACATAATAAATGATTTCATTGTATTCCTTGACCCCAGAAACATACGGTTAGACACCAAAATTATCATCCTAGATAAATACTATGGGAGCTATAGGGGATTATTTGATGTGGCCGCCATCTTGAATTTCTCAAAACGCTCAAGGGTGACCGAGGTTCACTCGGCAGATTCTGAACGAGGACACCCTAGGCTACTAAAATCAATCATAAAAAAAAAACTTTGTATACAATTTCCAGGTTCAATCATAGGTCTGCCTGACTATTGTCAAAGATGTCTCATGTATCCACCCCTTCCGCCACATGGGCATTACCTACGATGGAACCATTGATCAATGGTTTAAATTCCCGGCGATAAATTCTCAAGTCAAAGTATTGGTTTCTCAAGTATTGGTTTGTTTGTCAAGACATTACTAATTAGAGAGAAATGGGGTATAACGTCCACTCGACAAAAACTAGGTCATTTCGGGACTAACATAATATGGTCCAATATTATTTAAATAATTCTCTTTAGCGTTGGGAGGAAACCGGAGGACCCGGAGAAAACCCACAAGGCTGGACAGGCGACCCTACTCATTGTTACGTACAACCGGATTACTAATTAGTTTGATACCTTTCTCCAAGAAAAACTGAACTATATCTAACCGGGCTTCAACACACGCTACATGTAATGGAGTTGAGCTCGCATTATTTTGGCTATTCACAGCACCTCCCTAAAAAAAAAATTAAATATTTTTGTATTTACTGTTATTAAAATATTAAAACAATTACTGAATTTCAATCGTTTTGAATGTGTTTGCGGGCGTGTTATACCGCAGAAAGGCAGATAAAATCAGAAAGAAATGTCGACCTACACCCATTACTATTATAACCCTTCACCTCTGAACTGCGTTAAGGTTGTAGAGGTACCAGAGACACACACCCGATTGGGTCTCCACGGACCTGGACCACGAATTTGCTTTTTGCCCATTCACCCCCTTGGTCTTCAACTGATCATTCCTAGGAAGTCTTCTAGGAATGACATGGAGGTTGAAACACTACTACTGCTACAATAGTGTACTGCTACTACTGTTAATGATTTAAATAAAAGGAGAAGAGAATCACCGACGAAGCATCGAACTAACTAAATCAATGTACCAGACACGAATCATAGATCCTGTTTAACAAATATTAACTGTTTTTATTTGAGTTATAGTTGTTAGTGTTGCACAAAGCTACAACCACCATCAAAGAGCACTAACGATACATGTTAAAATTATTATTTAGTCTTATTACCTTTCTTACCAATATACGAGCACAATCCGTATGATTATTGGCGGCTGTGATATGTAAAGCCGTAAAACCATCTACTGCTTTAGAATTTACCACTCCCGGTTTCTTTTCAAGGATTCTTTCAACAGCTCTAAAGAATAAAATTTTGAAAATGAATATGTGACCTTTTTTAAATTAAAATAAATGTTAAAGAGGATCTTCACAACATTCTGCATTAGCTACATTTTAACACATCTGAAAGTTTACCGTTATGCCAATAATTTTAACGGTACAATCCTCGTCAATGTTGCGATATCACATTTCCAGTAAACTAAACCTGTATTCTCGGTAGTCTGGATAAGCGAGATTGTTCCCAACAGACGGGTATAATATATACTAAATTCAGAACAGTTTATTGGAAATGTTTCAGCTTAATACATTATCAAAATTACGTACACGGGGCGGTCTTTTAGCGCAGCAAGATGGAGAACGTTGAAACCCTTCTTGTTGTGGAGAGTAGCATCATAATTCTCTGATTCACACAGGGATCTAACCGCATCATCACATCCTTTATATATTGCAAGGTGCAGGGCCGTATCGCCATCGCTGTCCTACAATTTATTCAAAAAGGAAATATATAGAGAATCTCCTACCAGTCTTTTTTGATATCAAAAAATATCAACATAAGTTGATAAAGTAACAAAAAACGAGGGCTCTGCCGATTTTTTTTTTTACTTTATCAACGGGTGTTGATATATTTTGATATCAAAAAAGACGAGTAGGAGATTTTATTTATCACCCAATCCCTTCTTACATGCACAAATATAATTCTTTGACGTAGATTTCACTTTTACTGAACATTACGGCGTAGTGATACATCATTTTTTGACAGCAATTCAACCATTGCAAAGTCCTTTATATTGACCCAGTGTTTCCATCAAGGTCAATTGAATAACTAACAACAGTTCATTTTTAATAAAAAAAAAGTTATTTTTAATAAGAAATGATCTGTTCTTTGAAAATAAAATAAGGAGTTCCCTTTCAACTGGCCAAATTCACGTAAAGCGATATCTCCTAAGGATTATGAAATATATCATTATAAAATATATCACACAAGCGATATCTACTGTAGAATGTATTATTGGGTGATAAATCACCGTTACACCATTCATGAAAATCGGACCAAAGCTGCCAGACCAAATATCCCTGATTGTACGAAAAATCTCGTTTTTTGCTTGTGGTCCCTCTACAGCTCACAATTATTATCTGATTTAAAAAAAACTGTTCGAATATATCACCGTTACACCGTAATGTTGGTTGAGTTCGAATTTTGTGAAAATCGGACGAAAACTGCCAGACAAAATGGCCGCCCTTCGTACGCAAATAGTGTAAACATCTGGTATATCAAGGCTGTGGACCCTCTAGAGGTCACAATTATGATCCGATTTTGATGAAACTTGAAATACATGTTTATAACCCACAGATCGTGGTCCCTTTCGAGATTTGCGGATATCAAATCGTCACTTCTTGACTTATGGCCCTTGATTGTACAAAATTTAGGGGTAACAATTTTGATCCGATAAAAAAAAAACCTGTGATCTTAGTTCCTTTTGATAATCGCGCATATCCAAACGTAATTTCCTGGATTATGGCCACTGATTGTTCGAAAAATCGCATTTTTAGCTTGCGTAGGCTATGGCGGATACAACCAGGGTGGTGTAAGAAATTACGGCGCACTCAACCAAGCACTACCGTGGTCATTGGTTGATAAGCATAATCAGAGCAATAAACCATAAAATGAAATGGGATTTAACGTCCTACATACAGTGTGCTATGAGGTAAATTTTGCCCGGACAGCGGCACTACGGCCTACTCTTATATCGAATTCCAGCTGTCAAGGGATCTTTTACGTGCACGCCAATGTGTACACGGGAACTCGGTTTCTTGTTCCATCCGAACAACTTGTCCGGCCCTCCGTCCTGTATCACTGACAAGGGTGAACCACGCCGGCTGGATGAACGTTCTCGGCCAAAGCAGGGATCGAACACCCAACCTCCAGAATAGCGAACCAGCGTCTTACCCACTTAACTGAATGGAATGAAATGGGGTTTACGCCATACTAATTAAACAAACGTAATCGCCCACCATATTACTTTGAATCGTTGAAGATATTTCGCCTGCTATCAGCTTCAATGAAATACTCCACAAAATCCTCTGTTGGACACAACGTGAATGTGCTGGGTGAACTGTACATGCGCGAGGTCGGATGTTCCCCCTAAACGTGAAAATTTAAAAGTTCAACTTAAATTATGTACACTATACATTTAATGACTCGGGTTACACACCCACAGCCGAATGTAAAGCTTCCATAAAGCTGTCTAGTGAATCCAGTTGGGGAACTTGGTCCGATAAACGATTCCAATGAGCGATTACGCGTGATACGCGTTAATTTTACAGTGGTATGGTATGAACTTTCTACTTTGACGAACTGGTGGATCTGGTAGTATAAATGTTGGTACTGCTTATGCATAACTTTGTACATAAGTACTAAGTCCGAATATTGTCTACGTTGTTCCAGAGATGGCCAATTCAGGTGCTGTATCATAAGTGTAACACTACTAGGGTTTTTATAGTTATATGGCTTCCTAAGTACGGATGTAGCTGCATTACGTTGGATCTGTTCTATTTGTTTCACTTGTGTTTATTGTTGCGGGTTCCAATTGTTAACTATACTCCAGCTTCGGTCGTACTGATGTCTGATAGGCACGTTCCTTCACGCCTTTTGGACAGTTTCTAAGATTACGTTTCAGGAATTCTAAGACACTTGAGGCTTTTGAGGTTATGTTGTCTATATGTAAATTATATGGATGGTTTTTGACGACTTCCAACGATGTTCCTTCCATTTTTGGAATCAAAATGGGAAACTTTCCTTTTTGTTACGTTCATGACTGCACATTTGTACTGCATCTGCCAGGTGTTACTCCATTCTACCAGGATGTTTAAATCTTTTTGAAGTGATAAGTGATCTTCTGGAGATGTTATGTGGATGTAAATTAATCAGCCGCAAATAGGCGAATGGCACAGGAGGATATATTAAACGCAATGTCGTTTATAAATACAGCGTGACCGGAAGTAGGACGAAATGGGGTCAAAGGAATTCCCTTTTGTTTTTGTTTGCAGCAGTCTGGGGTGTTGGATGGCCGAATGGTTAGCAATGGCCGAATGGTTAGCACGTGCGCACTGTATCATAAAGCCTGTCATTGAGTCAACTGGCGTGGTTTCGAATCCCCGGTTGTACGTGACAAGGAGTAGGGTCGCCTTCTAACCTCGTGGGTTTTCTCCGGGTCCTCCGGTTTCCTCCCATTGCTAAAGACCCCTACGCGCAAGCGAATTATTGAAATAAAATTAAACCATATGTTAGTCCCGAAATGACCTAGTTTGTGTCTAGTGGACGTTAAACCACATTTCTCTCTCTGCAACAGTCTGTATCATCCAGTCCCATTTATTAACCTATCCGTTACTGGAAATTCGCAAAGTGACTGGCTGATTCAGACTGCACCAAAACACAAACCCGCGTGTTTGTTGGGTGAAAAATGTCAGGCTTTTGAAGTTATAGAGTGGCACTAGACACCGTTTTTTACACTGATTTTTATACGCCCACAATATATTGTCGTCGCCCCTGTCCGTCCGTCCACAATTGGTTGTGAACACTCTAGAGGTCACAATTTTTATCCGATTTCAACGAAACTTGAAATATAGGTTTATCACCATAAGATCGCGGTTCCTGTCGATATTAACATCTATCCGACTGTAACTTCATGGATTATGGCCCTTGATTGTACGGATTGTAATTTTTATCCGATAAAAAAAACTGTTTTAGTATATCACCCTATGGATGGCCAAGTTCAAATTTTGTGAAAATCGGACCAAAACTGACTAACAAAATGGCCACCCATCGTTCTCGCATAGCGTAAAAATATGGTATATCAAGGTTATGGACTCTATAGAGGTCACAATTTTTATCCGATTTTTTTGAAACTTGAAATGTAAGTTTATAACCCAAAGATCTCAATTCCTTTCGATATTCGCGCATATCGGACCTTAACGTCCTGAATTATGGTCCCTGATTGTACGAAAAATTGCGTTTTTAGCTTGTGGACCCTATAGCGGTCATCTCAGTTCCTTTCGATATTCGTGCATATCGGATCGTAACCTCCTGAATTATGGCCCCTGATTGTACGAAAAATGGCGTTTTTAGCTTGGGTTCGCTCTAGAGGACACAATTATTATCCGATTTAAAACACCGTTTGAATATATCACCGTTACACCATAATGAAGGTTGAGTTCGAATTTCGTGAAAATCGGCCCAAAACTACCAGACTAAATGGCCGCCCTTTGTCCGCAAATAGTGTAAACATCTGGTATATTTCATTGAAATCGGATAAAAATTGTGACATGTAGAGTGTTCACAATTAATTGTGGACGGACGGACAGGGGCGACGACAATATACAAAATTGAAGTAATGATCGATGCCCAAAAAATCTATTATAACAGATATCGGCCGAAACCTGAGATGTTCGGTTTATTTCTTTGTTACGGGCACTTCATTTTTGCCTAATAAAATGCAAAATATTCCCCCCTCCCTTTCAAAAAAAAATATATTAATTCTGTATTACTTTACATGACTACTCGAAAGATATGCCCCCCCCCCCCCCACCACAATCACACATACACACACTTTTACGTCTGCAAGTTGCAGAAATAAAAAAAATTAATTATAGATATTATAGATATTTTCCTAATTCTGAGTTTCTTAATTCGCGATCAGCTATGAAGGTCAATTTTAGTTTTAGTAACACGCCTCGATCAATCAAAAATCGGGGATTCCCGAACATGACGTTGTTGACCTCGTTTCTTCTTACTTGCGGTCCGTCGAAGATACGAATATCCAAGTGATAACGCTTCAAGTTTGATTTGTAATTAATAACGCTGTATAATGATCAAATAAAGTCTCGTTGGCAAAAAAATGGCGGAAAGTGTTAAAACTAGTGAGTATTGTGAGACATAGCAGACGAAATATATTCAACGATTCAAAACAATATGGTGGGGATTCACCTTGTGTTATTAGTAACACTAGTCAAACAGTTGTAAGAAGTTTTATTTTAATCCCTTCAAGTGCCCGAACCAACGACCTGCGGCATATTTCTATCCTCTTTCCCCAACGAACAAAAATTCCTGTGTCGATGGAGGTGCTAAAAAAAATAGACTTATAATAAAACCAATCATGTCAATAAATTTGTAGGGATAAGAACAAAAGCTCCGCCAATTTCAGTTTAGAATATGTGTATAGTACAAGACAAATACCTGGATGTTCATATCGGATCCTTTCTGTAATATAAGTCTAACTACGTCTCCATAATCATGTGCAGATGCACAATACAGGGCTGTTTTCTTATCCTCTGGAACAGTTTTTACATTAATTCCTCGAGAAATCAATAATTTAGCAATGCCCCTCTCTTTTCTGAAATTATCAAGGTTAAATCTAAAGATACACCAACATACTTCTTCAGATCAGTGCTTGCATTGCCTATACGTTAAACCCAGGGATTATCCTTCCCTAGAATATTATAGATGAAATGAAATGGGGTTTAACGTACTACTATATTTCACCAACCGGTATAATGAAGATGCCCCGCCCCGTAAATAGCAAACATAATACCGATACAGAACCATGCCAACGGGTCCATTGATATCTTAAATGAGAAGTGTGAACATTATTTTGTAATTAATAATAAAGTGAGCTATATGGCATAATGTTCTAATGCTCGCCATAATAAGATCAATCATTTCTGGGTTCAATCCCGGGTGTGTGCGGGACAAAGTCGGGTCACCACCCTACATTCAAGATTTTCATTCAGGTATTCTCCTTACGCCTAAAGACCGCATATTCCCCGACTTCATTTGACCCATGCGCAAAGGTGAATTCTTGCGAAAATATAGCCCAGTTTATGTCATAAGGAATTCTAACCCCATTTACTTAACAGTATCTGGAAATTGCTAGATATTTCCCATTGTTTATACCTATTTTAAGTTGTTTTGATACTCCATGATCAAACCTTTCGAACATTAGCATATTTGATGGTTTATCCAAACATTACCTACCCAACTAATGCTGCTATCAGGGCCGTGTTGCCTTTGTGATCTAATTTATTAATATCAGCACCTTTGTTTAATAATTCGTCAACAACACTTGTAACTCCTTGGTGGCAGGCTAAAACTAATGGTGTCACGCCTTTAAATTCAACATTTACCTAAACATATTACAAGAAAAACATGAACCTTAAACATCCACGGGTTAAAAGATACACTGATGGGTTGATAAGAACTCCAGGTTAAAATGATTTACAATCGCCAGTTAAAAATGAATGAGAGAAATGATGGAAAGTTTGTCTGGACCGTAACACCCGCATACTCTCTATCGAATTCCAACTTTTGCGTGTGCGGCAACGAGTACAGATGGACCTCCGGTTTTCTCCGCAGTTGAAATGCTTAAACGGGAATGGAATTTTCTCGATCAACACCGGGATTGAACCTGGGACCTACTGGTTAGTGATACAGCGACATACTACTGTCAAAATACTGTTTGTAGCTCTTAAAGTAAAGAGTGCAATTCAAAATAGTATCCTATTTATTCATCGGGTCAACCAAAACAGTGCTTACACTGGTCTGTTGATCACCATTTTCATCTATTGCGACATAAGTTTCGCGCCCCCTGTGAAAAAAATTGTCGACCATAAAAAATAGATATATGTACATATGTAGATTGTCCAATTTTAAATCACCCCTGAGAACATTTCCCGGACCCCCACCCCGCACCCCCCGTTGCTCTGAGCTAGTTACGGCCCTGGATTAGTGTCGATTAGTATTTACGGTTAGAGCTGCAATAAACTATTTAAGGTAAAAAAATATTTAAACATTTATCTTAAAGGAGGCAAGTCTTTAACTCAATATCATCCACAGTCTTCGACATTGCAAACACGACATATTGGTCAACTGGTGTTATCTTACCTTGAAAAGAAGGACGTCTGATATCTAATATTTAAGACGAAATGAGAATTTTAAAATTGGCACACGAATCGCGTGCCAGAATGATTTCGAGTGCCATTACCAAATATTCTGCGTCTGCCACTGTATACTAACAGTAACAGTACAGTCAAATGTATAGTGAATACCAACATCTACCCCCGTCGCGAAAATTATTCGCCACAAGCACCACGACCAGTGCGGCATGTGATCTTATCTTAAAACAGTCTTACTGCTTTTAGTTAATATTTTGCCATATGTCCTATCTTACTTACCACTTCGGGATGCTTCCGTATCAAACTTATAGCTTCGGATGACTTATTTTCTGATATGGCTCTGTATAGTGCATTGCTCATTAAGGTGGAACCAGAACCACCTGTCTGTTGTTGACCAAATAGACCTCCCATTAATCTCAATAAGGCATTGTTTAAATCTATCAAATGTAATGTTGTAGAATGGTTAGTTTAAATGATTTCTAAGTTTATTAGTAATCTGGCAGAGTAATATCACATAGTACTGCGATGCGAAAGAATAAGAAAAACCCGTGACGTTCAGATTGGACGTTAACGTGAAGACTGTTCTTCCGTATGGTCAGCTGAACAATACCATGTCCGTGAAAGATATGTTACCAGGTAACAAAACATGATCTTCGTCACCGTCGCAGTTCACAAAGGTTGTCGCATATTTATTATTTTATAGGTGACATGAGATTTTACAAAACATTAAAGATTGACCAAGAGTAAGAACCCATGAAGTGGTTAATAATATGTACATTTATACCGCGCACAGCTCCATGCTAATATGCATGCTTAAGGCGCTACACGGCCAGGGTGCCATAATAGGTCATAAATAGATGAGGTTTTAAATTAGTTCAGAATGTGTCTAGGCTGGATGATAGTTTAACGTTCAGGGGTAATGAATTCCAAAGAACTGGCACACTGAATGTGAACACACTATCTGTATCCAAATGATTTGGGTTTATATTTTGGGATTTGAGTCAGCTATTTTCAAAGTTGATGTACATGTTTCTCATTTTATAGTGAGTGTTTTGATCAATCATGGTTAACATATTGGTGGACATCCAGCTTTGTAAAGTTTGGTCTGTTTTCATTAGCCCAACCGGAGCAGAACAGTAGGACGTTAAACCCCATTTCACTTCATTTCATTTTATAGTTTGTGTGCATTTTGATGTACGTTAAAACATTGGTCAAAGTCACATGGATAAAAAGTATCGATAATCTGATTGTCGTTGCCATAAGAATGGGGTAATAGGCTGTGTTAGCTGATAATGAGATTCCCTAGTTGTGTACAGAGTACCGATCCTTGGAGAACTCCCCAGTTTAATTCAGCTGTATCTTACTTAGCATCGCCAATCACATTTGATTGGATTCGATTGATAAGGTATGAGGCGAACCATTTTAGACAAGGTATTGAATGCCGTGCTGCGTCTCGAGAGTCTTCAACCTTAAATGTTTTCTAGATCTTCATATATCGGTAAATCAATATGCACCTTCGTCTCGTGAGCCTTACCACTATGTATACATTTCACGTAAATTAAACAAAACATTTCTTTCTAAAGCATCTACAGGCATTTTCAAATTGATAAAGGTCAACAACGTCGACAGTAATAAAGAGAGGTCGTTAGAAAAGACTTTCTATTCGGGTGAAAATAAAAATTGTATGTGAAGATGACGTCAATCGAGAGATGACTTTAGCCCGTAAAGCGTATTTCAAATTCGTACTGGGCCATAAGTTTGACTGTAATTATCGGAAATCGTTGAACAGATATTGTTGAAAATATATGTTATTGCTATGATGATGAACATTAAAACTGTATTTGAATTTTAAGTCGGACGAATGATACTTTCAGCTCCAGTGTGTCCACAATATTTTTCAATTATCGGAAATCGTTGAGAATCCAGAGGCTTCTTTTTTATGAACTTAAAATACCGTGTGTATATATCAGGTCAATCGGATAACACGTTTTAGTTTTCAGAGCGTTCCAAGATTTTTCAAATTGATCCAGGGCGACAACTCCGAAAGTAATTATCGGAAAACGTTAGATAACAATCCCATAATAACTATTAGCAATTGTGGATGAGGAAAAATATTCTTAACAAGTTTTAGAAGTCGAACTGTTTATAAAATGAAAACTTTAGTGTATATGTAATACCTGACATGTCAACAGTATCATCATCGTCATCTTCGTCATCATCGTCATCTTCGTCATCATCGTCATCTTCGTCAACTTCATCAATCAATTCTCCTGGCGCAGGTGTACAACAAGCAGGGTTATACACCCAAACTCTTCTACCAAATTTTACTACTACGTCACCATCTGAATCTATCTTACTGACTCGTCCAACCTTACCTAGATACTAACATACAGATAATCATTTTATAAGCAACCTCCATTACAGGTGTAACATTTATTATAGTCTGCAATAAAAGTTTTCTTTGTTATAAAGGCACGATTCTAAACCACTTAAACACCGCGAAACGATCGTCAGAAAGTAGGAGCAAACCAGATAGTGTAACAACAAAAAAGAACAATACACTGTGTGTTCAGTCATTGTTTAATTACGAAAGATAATATTCGATAACGAAAAACATAATCCGTATTGCGATTTGCCAAGAGACCAGCGAACGTCCTTTGTGGAGTTTTGTGGAGTGGGCCCTTTGGTCTACTTGTGTAGATATGACCGGTATAGTACCTGTGTGATTATCTGTATATTCCTGATAATATATTTATCACACCATTAAGGAAGGATATGTTTAGTATCGTCGAACATCTTATATGTACAGTATCTAATTCAGATGATTTCACGTTCGGAATCCCATTTTAGTTCGGTGGGGAAGGATCAATTATAATATCGAAATGTAGAAATGACAAATTACCGATTTCATTTGAGGTTGGTATCCGCCATGATTTTCCAATAAAATCTTCACCTTTTCCTCGTCCGAGAGAATGCGAACAACATCCCCAGCATTAACGTCATAAACCTTAAATATGCAACATGATACATTACATCATTTCATATATAAATCAAACGAAATAAAACAGAAACTAACTTAGTCAAGAGAATACAAAACAGAAAACTATATTCCAGCTAAACCAACTTTGTATTGACGTCGATTTACTGTGGACTAAAAAAGCATGCGATAAAATCACTCACCTTTTTCAGTACCCCCGGATAAAATCGAAATTTACAATCCCCAAATTCAACTAGAGCATGGCCATTTGGTGCAAATCCTTTAATTTCACCAGTTTTTCCAGCACACTAAAATGAATAAATAATAGGAATATTAGATTTAATGGTAGCTTCATAAATCCACTATATGAGAAACAATGCAAAGTAAGTCCAAAGAAAGAGTGAAACTAAATTTCTTTTACAAGTTTCCCTATTTCATTTGAAGAAAAATTATACATGTATTTCATCGGTCGTTACATATTTTTTTAAAAATGGGTTCTGTTCTCACAATTTTTAGTACTAGATCCTATATTTAAGTTTTGGGAGCATGCAATCAATGACTTGATGCCGGACATCACCAAACCTCTGTATTTCCTTGTAATGTTACACACAGTTGCGTTTGGAAACTGACTAATGTTTTCTGATTAGTTTTATTTTTAATTACAATTTCAATGTTTTTAAAACTTACGTCTAACATGCTTTTAGTAAAACCCCCATGCCGTTTCTGTAGTTCTTCTATTTTTTCAGTTGACACCATTATACACACAGAATCGCCTTCTTTTAAAACCTCTTCATTGGTAACTAACCCGCCTTTTTCAGAACTCGCTTTTGGAGTAGTGACCTCTTTCTGTTTTTCTGTAGGTATATATAAGTTACATATATTATAATCACCGTGAACTCCCATCTAGGTTCTTAAAGCATATATCGCATAAGTAGAAAAATAAATGATAAATGTTAATCGAAGGTGTTAGAACTGAAGTAATCTTTGTTATACAGGTAGATTCGAATACACGTTTGTTACAAACAAGCATATGTAGAACCCGAATAGTTTTACAACCGACGTGACAACTAATCTGTTTAAATACATACCACAAACAGGGAGGTGATCTCGATAGTAATATGTACCACGTGATTCTTGAACAAACTGTAAATCTATTTTACCACCTTCAGCTCCAAGTCGGTAGACGCTACTAATACCAGACGACCACTTGACGCTTATTGTATTTCTAGTGGAATTTGAGGAAGTGTCGTGTTCAGTGGCTATCACTTCACCTGTACTACCATCGCCTCCTATACGTAAACACAAAATATTTGAATAAAACGTTATTTAGGCAGAGTGCACACTTATGTGTGTGAATAAAAATAAAATGTCGATATTTGATTGAAATTGATACAATATCGTTTTAATATATATAGTAGGAGGATACCACTTCCATATGTTTAACGAAAAATACCAAAATGTCAATATAGTAAGAGATGGGTGGAAAAAACAAAAATCGCTGATGTTTGATTAGGTTTGGTAGAGTGCCGCTTTATTTGGGGAAAATAAACTAAACGTTGATAATAATAGGATTTGAGGTAGGGTAAAGGAACTTCATCTCTAAAAGAAAGCGCAGCTTAATTTCTCATCAAAATACGATTCCAACCACACGATATGCACCCCGCCCCCCCCCCCCAAAAAAAAAAGAACAGTAGCAAATGGTATCAGTTTTTCGAGACGGATTAATTGTTGATGGTAATTTTTGGGCTTTCAAGATGTGCTCACATCACAATAAACAGCTGCAAGCCAATTTCCCTAATGTGAACAAAGTTTAATACCGTCTTGATCACCCCATTTCCAATCATTTCCTCTCTTAACAATGGCTCCGGCAAAAATACCCATGGCTTGAAGTTTAACACTTGTTGCTCGTTTGCGCACCAGTGTCCTGGAGGAGAAACGTATTAATATTTCATTACTTAAAGATATATTATGAAAGATTAGATAAAGAGCTGACAGTCCTCACTACAATAGTTAAAATCTAGATAATGTACAGGTGATATGCTGAAAATTTCAGTCGAAGTGCGTCACTCTAATCCGAGAAAACTTTATTTTAAAATCACTATAGCCTCGATTGTCATTGTTACCGCTGTCACGATAATATTGACAAAGTCTCGATTATCCATTTTTGCGTTTTATCATCAAAGAGAGTTGAACAGAAGATCGGATTCAAATCCAAAGAAAATCTGATACATAAGATGGCACCAAGAGTTGATTATAGTCTTTTCTTTTTAATAAATACCTAATTAATAGTTTATATAACATTTCATGCCTAAAAAAGACCCGCAATAGGCAGATTTAGCTCGTACACAATGCATGTTTAAAAAGATCATTCAAATGCACAACACAAATTGAATGTCTACGTATATTTGCTTTTCTTCATAACTCGAAAATAGGCGTAGTTATCGAAAATATAAGCCCACATTATAGCTGTATGAATTCAATTATCAATTTATTTTATTTCCGAATCAATTATAATTAAAGAAATATTGCTGATGTCGCCTTACCCTGGATCATTAGATGTGGTATATCTTTTAAATTCATGCTGTATAGTATGTTTGTCAGTAACGTAACACGTATGACAAAGATGACACTCTTTGCAGACGTTACAGGTCCATCTCATCCCAAATATTCCTCTTTCAGAACATACAGTACAATTATACTGCGTATGCCGAACACCTTTTAAACAGTAAAAAAAAAGTATAAATCGTAAGCCATGGCACCTCAGCTACAAGAATCCTAATGAACTGTGTTGATTTGGTTGCAGTTGTATTCCACATACCAAATCCGATTCAGGCAATAGTTTTTCAAATATTTTGAACGAATACAGTCATATTCCTGAGGCAATGGCCCGAGAAAAATCCCTCCCTAGCCTCTCTTAGACTGAAAACTTGAGTTTTTGACGGAGTGTGTCCATTCTCATCGGGGGGGGGGGGGGGGATGGCTGAATGGTTAGCGTGCGCGCGCTGTATCTTAAAGTCTGTCATTGAGTTGACTGGCGTGGTTTCGAATCCCTGGTTGTACGTGACAAGGAGTAGGGTCGCCTGTCCAACCTCGTGGGTTTTCTCCGGGTCCTCCGGTTTCCTACCACTGCTAAAGACCCCTATGCGCAAGCGAATTGAAATAAAATTAAACCATATGTTACTCCCGAAATGACCTAGTTTGTGTCGAGTGGACGTTAAACCCCATTTCTCTCTCTCTCTCACACCATTCTCATCGTACAATCAAATCTCTCCTGAGTACAGTAAAATAAAGGGAATTTCATGACTGCCGCTTAACGGGGGTATCCGCTTTAAAAAAAATCCAGTGTTTGTTACTGCTGATTTCAAGAAAATTTTTACCCTGGCCTTGGGTGTATCGTGAGCAAAAATCGATACTCGCATCGGTAAATTTGGCCGTCGCTGAAACTCGCTATTGGAACGAAAATTCGTTGACCCAAATCTCCGATTTTAAGTATTCGCTAATATTTATCCATTTTTGTGAAGAAAATATATGAATTATTTATTTTATCAAAAAAGCACATGTAGGCTATTTCTGTCCAGCTTATTGGGTGAAACACAATACGTAACATAACAGCCCTTCTCTTTGATCTGGGGTCTTCGGACAGTTGATTAAATGTATTAAAAATTGTGAAAATTTTGTTCGTCTGGTGTGTGCTCCAAGAAATGATAAAATGATTCCACGTGCTCGGCGATTACCCAATGTTTACATTGTAGCTATTTTGGATAGCCTCGTTTATCACACAATTAGTTTATTTGCAATATTCTGTTATGCACTAGTTAATTGAGCGTAATACATTTCGCGCGTTATGACGTAATGTAGCCGCGATTGTCATCAGACACTTTACGGCAACATATTTAGAGCTGGTTAAGCCCGGTATATTTTGTCACGTAGTAGTAATGCATTGTTTGTTGATCAGACTGTTGAACCAATCATAATTTGGGGCAGAAATTTGCGGCGAGTAGGACAGAGCTTGAGTGGGGTTAGGTCTAATAAAACGAAACACGCGAGGAGGAATATTGGATGAGTATTAAGATTCACCAGTATCGTCACTGGCTTTGTGGTTTGATTTATATTCACTAGTATCGGCAGTGGTTTTGTGGTTTGATTCATATTCACTAGTATCGGCAGTGACTTGTAATTTTTAATGGATTCAATTGCAGTGTTATCTATGTCCAATGCGAATTCCAATGTGGGAAATGTCCGATAAATGAGTCAAAATCGTTACCTGTTGTAGCGTTGTCTAGGATCAGGAGGTCATGTTTACCATTCTGTCCAATTCTACAGTTGTTGCGTTTACCATTATCCCAAAGAACTTCGACTGTTTCTAAACCACCCACGCCTACAACAGTACCAACATGTCCTTCACCGCCATCTACATCACCTGCAGACCAATCAGGTCCTCTGATAACACGCTGTCCAAGTATTGACATCCTCTAAACGCATAAACAATATTGTTAACACATCTCAACACAACACAATACATGATTGGTGACTGGTGTGTGCCGAGTAGAACATTCGAGATTTCGCAAGCGCTGATCTAACTTCTTAGTAATGGTGTCCACGGGGTCTGATAGCGAAAGCATGTCTTTGTGAAAAATACAAATGGTCCCGTGTGCAGATTGGATGTACCCGTAAAATATCCCAGGGCGGGCGGCTATGGTGGTGGTGGGGGAAGTTGTAGTGTCCGTTAAAGATCACCTAATGAAAGTCTCGACAGGACAACTAACCCCATTTCATGCTATTCTTGGTTTGCCCCCCCCCACCCACTCATTAGCCATATAAAAGTAACATTAACAGTTACAGTTTTTATTTACAGCAATGGTAATAGCATAGAATATATATAATTAGTTATAAGCAGTGGTTTATATTAGGAAACAATTCAACGTCCATAGGCTGTAGATTTTAATCTATATCCTATTTCATTGCATGTTTAAATAGGCCCTTATATATATATATATATATATATATATATATATTCGAAATAAAGATGTTTTAGGGAAAAAAAACTAGGTTTTTGCTTCCTAAAACATCTTTATTTCGAATATCTAACACCTAAGAGTAGCTTTAACTATAACCTTTTACTATATATATATATATATATAGTTAATATGGTGGTGATAATACAAACACATAGGGTATTAAAGGGCGTATGGCTTTATTATTTCGAACTTTTAAAACGACGAAAATGGTCTAAAAGCACATATTAATGTAGTATGAATGAATATAAATGATTTAATTTCAACTTTTAAAAAAACATTGTGATTTCTTTTCAATTATGTTCGGTACAATACGCGAAGAGTCCAAATAAAACGGCAGTCGTTTTCATCTGCGTAGTGCATTCAACACATATTTTATTATCATTTTATGATTACCAATTACTCCGCATTGCCTTGTAGGGCACGTTATGTTCATTACAAATGGCACTCGAAGCCATAGAATACACGAATCGTGTACTGATTATAATCGTTCATTTTGTCTCAAATATTGGAAATTAGGATCCCATATTTCTCAGGCAAGATAACATCATTAAATGAAATTGATCAACACTGAATTCTACGTCGTGTTTGGAATTTCGAATATTATATAAATACCGAGTTGGAGGTTTAGCTCCTTTAAAGCTGGGCATACCCTGAAATAGTTTCCTAGTAGAGCCAAGTTTCGTCCACTGAAAACCGAGTTAAATGACATTAAATTGTGGAAAACTAATGGCAAACTGTTTTAATTCATCGAGAATCAATTACTAATAAATTTACTACAGATTATCATATTTAAAACATAAACAAGAGTAATATATTCATTTTCGTTGTCATAAACACGCTTTGGCACTCATATGGCAAAGGAACGTTTGATAGTTATAAGGTCTAATAAATTAAAAACTAGAATAAAGAAATCAAGCTCGACTCCCTTAAACCCCGGAATCGAAACTTGTGACGAACATGGAAAATGAAATACTTACTCGTGAGTACGAAGAGAATTTTTAATAAGCGAACAAATAAAAAAAATCCAATTTCATTCCCTAAAACTTCATCTTTAAAGCAATAGAAACTGGTGACGAACATGGAAAATGAACTACTTCCTCGTGACAATGAAACTACTTTCGTAAGCCAGCAAATATTGTTTATTCTATCAATTTTTGTTACGCCCTTTTGTATTCTATAGTGCAAGTACTAGCTATTTAGGAATCGCCCATTTTGTGTGCTTTTGTGGAATGTTCTGTGGAATAGTTCTGAATCTCTATCTCATATAAATAAAGACATCATAACTCGAATCAAGGTACAAAGATCGTCTAATCTAAGTATTTATCAAAGGTTTAATATACAACTTACCTCGTTTTTAAATTACTGTTCCTGCAAATGTTAAACTTTTAAGCTGATTAACACCAAAGACACAATATTGTCACTTTTCTTCTCAACAAGGACTATAATTCTGGGAAAATCCCTTTTAAACGACCTTGCCCTTTCATTTATATCCAGTTTCACAATACGGACTAAGACTAGTATACTTTCCTCAACTTAACCTTCTTCCTTCAGATATAAGATCTGGAGAGAAATGCCTGGAGCAAAACTGGAGGAAGAAAACTAGAAGCCCGATAATAGGGTGGGAGGGTGGGTAGCAAAATACATATAAACTACTAAAACATAAAACCGGGAATATTTCTATAAACCATGCAGACGTTGATGGGCAAGTGACAAATACAGTCATGTCACGTGTTCCATACTTCCGGGCGTAGGTCAAAGTTGTGAACAGTATACTTTCCTCAACTTAACCCATACCGCGGTATTTCATACCATCCTTTCCTAAAACTGTTTGTCCCTGTCAATCCCTCGGGCATGCACCAATAGCAAAAATGAGAAATATCCGATGAACTTTCCCGCTCAACGTAGGGGACCTCCAGATAAGCGATCCATCGTCTTACTGAGTCGCCGTTACCACCCAAACCGGCTTAGTTCAGGACAATCCAATATATGTAATGGGGTGCCATAAAAAAATGGGGTTTAACGTCCACTCGACACAAACTAGGTCATTTCGGGACTAACATATGGTTTAATTTTATTTCAATAATTCGCTTGCGTGTAGGGGTCTTTAGCAGTGGGAGGAAACCGGAGGACCCGCAGAAAACCCACGAGGTTGGACAGGCGACAAGACCTTTCGAAGAACGTCAAAATCACTAAAAACACTGAGATAACTGTTCAAACACGAAGTGGGTTCTGTTAATATTATTAATTCCAACGTGGATGTATAGGAAAATACAAGACAAAGATTGCGCCAAATTAATCAAATTTCGAGATATATCCAAAATTGATGCCCCAGGAATTGAAAACACTTTTATATCATACATATTAACAATACTACGTACACTAGAATCCCCTATAAGCAACATTGAATGGTGATGTAATACTGGCGCCCTAAAGAAAACCGAACCGAAATTAAATATATTTGTCTTCCGATTTGGAAAACAAAATCTTACAATCCACAAATTCCAATGTAAACCAAATTTGTCTTTTCGGAAACCCCCCTTACTGGGGTATAACAACATGTGTCTATCACCTTTATACTCTAATACAACTACCTGGTTTGCAAAAGAAATTTGTGGAAACCAAACTGGGATAGGGGAGGTAGCCGGAACAATCAAGGTACAATTTATTTGTTTCTGTTTTATAAAATTAATAATGGCTGAAATCATATTAAAAGGGGGGAACTTATCGACTGTGCAAAAACATTTATACCTGAAGTTTTTGGAGTTCTATACGGGGTAAAATGGGGGAGAGTGACGGCATCACTCCCCTTCATAGCGTTACAATCAAGAGACATGAGGTCAACGGTATGTGGTCCGAATATTAAATCAACTCTTTTAAATGCTAAATCTGAAAGACATGCATCCGATTTAAAGAAAACCCTAGAAGGGCCATCAGCAGGATTATCTTAAGATGGGATGAAAACTAAATTCATATGAATATTTAATCCTTGCAGAATAAAAAATATGTCCTTAAGAATGATATTTAAATTTAAAGACCGACTGCCTTGTTTTTTCCAGCTATCCAAAAGCGGTTAATTATCAATATTAACATCTAGGCGGTAATCTTTAACATCATGCGTAACACAAGTTAAAGCCCTTAAAAGAGCTAAAGCCTCTTTTATCATGATTCGATAATCAATTTCAGATGACCGCCAGTAGTCCCCGAAATACTGTTTCTGACTGTTGAAAATAAACTCAGCACCCCATTTGAAATTTGAAGCATCAGTAGACAAACATAAAACTAGGTGCTCCTCCTTAACCCATTGTTTAGGACCCTGCCAGTCAGGTAGAAAACCCCAAAATACAATTCCCTCCCTCAATTCTAACGATAAAAGACATACATCTTCTTTCGACGTCAACAACTTTGAAATCGCGTTAAAACATTCCGAAGCAAATAATCTCGCTCCTGGTACTGCTAAAGAAAACCAAATTATTTTCCCAGCAAATCTTTGCAAAGATAATAAATTTAAACTGTTAGATTCTAATATAGATTTCCTAAGGGCCAAAAATTTACAAACTTTTTCCTCGCTTAGATGAAAGGTCTGCTTTTGCACATCAACCCACATTCCTAAATAAATTAAGCATTGCGTTGGGATTAAAATAGACTTCTGCAAACCAATAAAGAAACCAAGACGAACTACAACTTCACAGGAAACGTAAATGGCGATTTTCGCGCGCTCTACGTTTGGCAATGGCAAATTAGAATTTATCTGCTCAACGAAACGGTCATCGATATAAATTAGGTTATTTACGCCAATAGACCGTAAATAGGAAGAAACATGAGTATTTAAGGTATTGTATATTTAAAAGCAGAATTCTTCCACCCGAATGGAATAGTGTTGCATACATAGTACACGTTATTCCACTGAAAACTTAAAAGTTTCCGCGAGTTTCTGGAAAAAAAACATGGTCATATCCACTCTTGTCATCTAATTTTGTTACAAAAGAAGAATTAGTCGCAAATCTAGGAATATCATTTGATGAATCTAAGGAAAAGGGGCAATCCATCATCCAGCAATTAAGATATCTCATGTTTATGTTTAAACATAATCGCGTTTTGGCAGGCTCTACAGTTAATGGAGAAACTACGTAAGGCGGGGATACTTCATTTACTTTACCTCAAACAGTATTGGCACCAGTGGCAAGACGGTTCTTAATTTCCGTTGTAATAAAATCTTGAAAATTTAGACAAGAGTTAGAAAACACTTTAGAAGGTGGATAGCTATGATCATATTTTCTATTTCAATAAAACCCGTTAAAATGAACTACGAAATTTTCCACATTAACCCCGTCACTTAACCAATTCAAAATATTGATAGAATCCGGGGATTCCAACAAAATATCCCGCCATTTATCAACATGCGAGTGGATACTTCCTGCCCTAAAGTTATTGGGATCCCTAACAACTAAATTTGTATAGAGGCTTCCAAAGGGTTATATAACACATATTCAGCTGCATTGACTTCTTTCCACTGACAAGGTTCTCCTTCATAGTCTACCCAAGCGTTACATATTTCCTTAACACTCTAGAAATATATAAAGCAAACAAATTATTTATTACATTTAGCTATAACATGGCCCATTTCCCCACATTTATAACATATAATTTTTGGACTTTGCGGTATAAAACGGGGCTTTTGAAACCTTTGTTTTGGAGGTTGATCCCCCATGCTTTAATGAACTTCTGTTCCTTTTCCATTAACTGATATTCTTTTTTTGGATGAAAGCATGAACACAATCAAAGAGCCCACATTAGGATTATGTTTGTTCGCTAAGAAACGCTGGAGAATAAAACCATATAACTCCGCACTTTGGTCGCATGACTTCCTAGCTTTCTCGTCAAAAAGAATGAGTTTTTGATGCAGAGTATCAAGGTTTATGTCCGAATTTCTAGAGGCATATTCTTCTCTAACCTCAACCGACTCTTTCTCTTGTTTATGTTTCTGTTCTTCCAGTTGTTCTTTTAACTTTTTAATCTCTTGTCTAGCATCAAACTAAAAATATCAAATAAAATCTAGGACTTTCCAATTTGATAGAGTATTCTCAACCTCGAGGACTTGTCTGCCAGAGCTAACATTCAGTTGGGGGGCCAGTAAACCAACGGTATTCCCCTGTTGCAACACCGAGTGTTGAATAGTATACTCCTCTAGCATGGAATTCGTTCTCCAACCAACGTGAGATAAAATGTCTCTATCTGAAACACCCAAACTCTTCAGACTAATAGCACACCCACTACGTAAACCATGTGGAGTTTCCCCATTGAAAAGCTTGATAGCCGACAAATGTTTTTTTAAGCCGGTGATTCATACCCGAGGAGGACACGGGTGCATCTTTTACGCCTACACCTCCAGAAGAACAAGGTCTGAACAAGTAACCTGAATTGAGTTCTATTCCAAGTGAGTCGCACACTCTAATGTAAGATTCCAACTCCGAAACAGCACAAATTTCCTTGTTTTCCACGAGAGGAATAATTAACCTTCTTGGCTCCGAACTTAAAGATTTTCATTCAGACATGTGAATATATAAACCATCACCATTTGGTAGTCTTCTAACCTGAGAAATCTTCAACCTACCCAAATCACCAGCCCTGTTACCTGAGAAACACAATAACTTAAAATAAGCCTTATCTCTAGCTAGATACATCAACATCAATGGCTCTACACATGAGAGTGATCTTGTCCAAAAATACAGGTTTGGCTTTTTTCTTGCAAAGTAGCGACCTTGCTTGCTCAATGCGCACCACCTTAAGGTGGTTCTTTACTGATGGTGAGGCCAACGGATTCCCTACCCCAAGCCTAGTGTTCCAATCCGAACCTCTACCATGGTCACGAAAAATCGCTCTTAAACGACCAATCAAACTGTCGACAGTAGATGGCGCCATCCGCCTAGGACAAGCGCACAAAGAATATTTGAGTACTTTATACTTTTTGGGACATGTTTCGTAATGAATTTAACTTTTACCACAACTTTCCTTAAACACTAAAAATTGCCTCATAACAAAAGGTGACGCATCATCTAAAGATCTCAGAGGATTAAGTAAAGCCAAAAAATGTTTTAATTCTTCGCTTAACTTCTGCTTCTGTTTCGAATACTTCGTATTTAACACGAAACTATCTAACTCCTTAATCCTATCACTGATAGATTTTGCATCCACAGTATATACCTGAAGGGGGAGGGAAATGAAAAATATTCATATATAATCCAAATTTTAAATAAATAAAATGAAAATTGGTAGAAATATCAGAAACATTTTTTGGGACAACCCTTTGCATTTTACCCCTTAAGAGTCAAAAGGAATGCCTTCTTAGAGTAATATATGTCAAGCATCTCTCAAATTGATATAGAGACGTGCATAATGCGAAACCCGATTAGATTCACAACATTTTTATTATATATCAGCATTAACGCGTATTCGATGATGACAACTGTACAATTAGTAGCACTTGGCAAATCACCTACAAAGAGACATTAAATCCGGCTGATAAAACCAGACATCAGTCTCGGGCTGACTATAACTAGGTATCATTCTCAGGCCGACACTCTGCATGACTAGGTATCAATCTCGGGCTGACTAAACAGTACGACTAACGTATCTATCTCAGGCTGATAAACCCAACAACTTAGTATCACTCTTAAGTTCACAAAACCATACAACTAGATATCAATATAAAAATCAAAAACCATAAACTAGATATCAAGAAGGACGAACTTTGTCACTATTATCTGATAAAAATATATCTAAGGAAAAAAAGGATGATCACATTCGTCTACAACGAAATGATGGGGAAATGAAATGAATGTGGTGGAGCGTCCTACTTTAAATAACGGGTGATGAATGTGGCTCTTAAAGTCTTATACATTCTAAAACATTTATTTTTTTCTGCAACAGTTATTTATATCCAGAAATATATTTAATTTTGATCTCTATCTATAAAATGTTGCTGTGGTCATTTATATGATTCTATAGCTCCTTTTGTAATACTCATAATGAAATTGCATTGAATCTTTAATGGTAATCGTGCTATTACAAAAAAAAAATATTTTATTTATTTTTTATTACTAATTTTTTTTTTTTTTTTTTTGCGCTATCCGAAATTATATCCAGATTATCACCCTTATTATAACCTATGAAGTTAATCTGCAGAATATCCCTAACGAAGAACATTAAGCTAAAGGAGAAAGAGAAGCTAAGATTCAGTTTCACAATTCATGGTAACCGCTCTTATGATGCCCAGTATTCCTAATGTACTTTACCCTAAAGCAGATGGACACGATATATTCGATTTCGGATGAGATCCGTAAGTAATCATTCAGAGGGCGGGGGCACCGGGTGGCCATCCAAACATGAAGTGGAAGGGAACTCGGCAGGCCCTGGAAGGATCTAGGACACCTGTCCCTGGACAATTACCCCCCCCCCCCTCCATCGTGATAACTAACCACAGGACAATTATCACCTAAATATTTTTATCTTATAAATAGTTTCTTTCTTTTAAAGATAGCCACTCTAAGCGTGGAAATACGTTCACATAACAGTTGTGTGTCTCAACAGCAACTTATTCGAAAGGTAAACTTGGATGTTGAACAAATTTGATTCGGATTTCCAAAATCTTATCTCCATCGTGATCACAAGTTTGAAGAAATCTGCCCAAAAATGTTGCCTCTATTGCGTTCAGTGTTTTCGTAAAAGCGGTGGTGGTGGTGAAACTCACGAATGGAAGGTCGCATAATGCAGAATATTTAGAGGGTTAATTCTGTCATGGAGAGAGAGAGAAATGGGGTTTAACGTCCACTCGACACAAACTAGGTCATTTTGGGACTGACATATGGTTTAATTTTATTTCAATAATTCGCTTGCGCGTAGGGGTCTTTATAAGTGGGAAGAAAACCGGAGGACCCGGAGAAAACCCACGAGGTTGGACAGGCGACCCTACTCCTTGCCACGTACAACCGGGGATTCGAAACCACGCCAGTTGACTCAATGACAGACTTTATGATACAGCGTGCACGTGCTAACCATTCAGCCATCCAACCCCCCTAATTCTGTCATGACCCCAATGCTTCACACCAGATTTGAAACATATCCAGTAAAGAATTGGGCGTCTATCATGTTGCGAAAGGGGGCGTAACTCTGGAAGAAAGGTTGTAGAACGTTAAATATTGACGGTGTTGCTGACCTCTATGCTCCACGACAATTTGACAAAAAACGAGAAGAACTAAAGTGGCTATTGCTTTTACAAGGTTTATAGTAAATGGGAGGTAACTCTGGAATGATTAAATTGATGGAGTTCATACTCTTCTGATCACGTTTCGTTTGATTAGACCTAATCCCACTCAAAAACTCAAGCACCGTAAATTTCTATCTCAAAATATGATTGTTCACAGTCAGATCAACAACCAAACAATACATTATAGGGTAACAAAATCAATCGGAATTAAGCAGAGATATATAACGTCAATGGCGGCTACATTACGTAATAACGCGCGAAATTTATAACGCGCAATTAACCAGTGCATAACGAATTATGTGAGAAAAGAGTCTATTCAAAATAGCTATAACGTAAACATTGGGTAATCGTTAAACATCGTGGGTTTTCTCCGGGTCCTCATGTTTCCTCCCACTGCTAAATATTAGTCAATGATTGATAAGTAGATCACATTTTATATCGACCTTTTTTATTCGCCAAAGTGACACGATTGTCCACAGTGCCTGCAGCCATCTTACATTTTGTGGTGACTTCTAGTTTTCGACTTGAGCCATCTGTCGAGCGGAGTGAGGCAAACAAACTTTTGACCTTTTATTACGACTTGTCCGAGATTGTACCATGGGAAAAGATTGTGTACTTGATTTAGACTGTTGTTCAAAATCCGTAGGATTTTTTTTGTTAAACTCTTAGGGTCCTGGGGGGTTGGATGGCTGAATGGTTAGCGTGCGCGCGCTGTATCATAAAGTCTGTCATTGAGTCGACTGGCGTGGTTTCGAATCCCCGGTTGTACGTGGCAAGGAGTAGGGTCGCCTGTCCAACCTTGTGGGTTTTCTCCGGGTCCTCCGGTTTCCTCCCACTGCTAAAGACCCCTACGCGCAAGCGAATTATGTAAATAAAATTAAACCATATGTAAGTCCCGAAATGACCTAGTTTGTGTCGAGTGGACGTTAAATCCCATTTCTCTCTCTCTCTCTTAGGGTCCTACAAACGGAATTCTCAAGATTATATTTGCTGATATCAATTACTTTGAATTTAAGTTATTTTCTGTGATTTGAAAATTTCGGCATCGTCTAATTATCTACAAAGCATATAGCATGGCGGTATGTTCAGAGTGACAAGCACACAGTTAAGAATAATAACAATGGGAGTGATTTTATCTATATGTATAAAGGGCGTATACGAGTGTGTCGTAAATGTAGGGTTATTAATCTATGTGTGATAATCGAGTCTATCTTATACGGTATCACGACCTGTGTTTGGTCATTACGGGCGCGGAACTGAATACATATCTGTGTTATCGATTTGTTGATACTGTCTACATTAGTATTCAAAAGTATGTCAGTCATGTTCATTGCTCGCGTCCCGGGTTACAAATTCTACATCGGGTGAAATTTCGCAATAACACTTTATAATACGTTAACGTACGTTGCTGATTCAGTAATAGTCAGGTGGCTCGTAGACAACCAGGAAGGTTTTTGTGACTTGTATTATATACAACCTGTGTACGGGGGCTCTCTGCATTTCACCACCTGGCAAATAAAATGGGAAAACTTAAGACATTCATGGTAACGTTAGCCAACACCCATGCTGTGTTTTACAGTGGGCAATTTATAGATGGACAAGTCATAGTTGAATTGAACGAAGAAATGAAGATGCGTGGTAAGGTAAAGCTTTGCTGGAATATAGTTAAACGCAAATACATTTAGATAAGCTAGAGATAAACTGTGTAAGTTCTCGTTAGTAAAGTCAGTGTTGGAATATTGTGTATTACACTGTTATTGCTTGGTTTTAGATATTACTACTACTTTTTACCTTTAAAATCCGTAAAATGATCCTGAATATAGTGAGTAACCATAATTAATAATCATGATCTATTCGCCCAGAACAATTAAATATTTGAATCATGTTTATTCAAACATTGTCACTGTGGCTGCTATATTTAGCGCGAGCGAGCATTTCTGTTTACTCAACCATTTTGTAACGCGACTGACTGCTATACGGAACGCCATAGCGAACATTATTTTCTTCTTTTTCATAAAAAAATGTTGTATGAAGAGAAATGAAAAGGGGAGGGGGGGGTAACGTCCCACTTTTTTTTTTTACACCGACAGGGTCAATGAAAATGAGTGTGTGACGAGATCCCGGTTGACTGTCACAATTCATGATACATAATGACGATCCATGTTTTACTTCTCGGCCAAGTCTACTTCTTGTCCGAACCTACATGTACAGTATGACAACCGGTAATTGCTGGAATAGAAAACAATTACATGTATATTAAAATGCACGCAACCTAAGTAATTTACAATTAATTCCATACATGGACTATATCCTCTTGGCAATATCTACCGTTAAATGAACAACCACACCCATTAAGCAGTCCACATAAAATTATTTGTCTTCAAAACAAATAACTCTTTAAATATTGCATTAAAAGGGGAACATTATAAAACGGCTTACTGTCGGAGCCATCCTAAAGATATAAACTGTTTTTGTTCCGTATTAATAAAAATGTTCTCAAAGGTAAATGTTTAAATAACCATAATCAAAAGTAGTTTGTTCATACTGTATGTTCCGTATGAAAACAAACTACTTAATTAAGGTTACTTTACAACTTACCTAAGCTATGTGTTTGTAATGTAATCTTCCCCGGTTAAAAAAAATATATATTGCACAATGAAATATTTCAACGAATGAAAAAGTTCTCGAAGGTAAATGTTTAAAATAACCACAATTATAAGTAGTTTGTTCAGGGTCGCAGTAATTCACGATGGTATATTTTTATGTTTAGCGTTTGGTCTTTCGGTTACAATAAAGCAAGAGAATCATGTTGCCTTTGATTTTCATGCCGTAACCCAGTGGGTGAATAATACCACAAACGATAGTTGTAAGAGAGAGAGAGAGAGAGAGAGAGAGGGAGGGAGGGAGGGAGGGAGAGAATGGGGTTTAACGTCCACTCGACACAAACTAGGCCATGTCGGGACTAACACATGGTTCAATTTTATTTCAATAATCGGAGGGCCTGGACAAAACCCACGAGGTTGGACAGGCGACCCTACTCTTTGTCACGTACAACCTGGGAATCGAAACAACTCCAGTTGACATAATGACAGACCTTATGATCCAGCACGCACTTGCTAACCATTCGGCCACCCGATAGTTATTAAGGTGCTAAGAAATATTATAGCGTATAAAGGAATGTGACACATGAGCTTGCTTAATGGGCGAATTATATGTTATCTGAGCGACATGTCGAAAGTACACTAGGACTCAGATTATGTGTAATGGAGATACTATAGGAATTACATAGATCATATAGTGACGATTAGCTAAAAGATGTAAATGTTCTATACAGTGATGTAGTTTTAATTAGTGTTCTTATATGCTGTTGTTCCTTTCTATTATCTTTATAAAACTGCTCTTGGCATATCATTAAAGCAACTGATCACTAATTGAGGAATTTTGAATCCCATGCAACCACATTATTGAATTCAGGAATATCAATCCATAAGAGGTTAACTCTGTTCAGTATTTACAAAGACATGTGAATTGAAATTTTCGCATTATTTGACATCCTCTGCAGAAGATAGAAGCAAGCCAGCGCCACTTACAAGTGTTGGGTAAAACCTTTGATGGACCCCTTTTTAATCCTATTGAATCAATGCCCGGAGATTATATGATATTTTGGTTTTGATTTCTTAATTAAATGGAGTACATTTTAGCACGGATTAAGCCGTGAAAAAATAGCTATATACTACATAATTTACTTCTGATTTCAGGAATTCGTATAAAGTTTGAAGGGCACGCACATGTTCAGTTTAGAGATCGTGTTTCCGAACACCACGTTGGTGGTCGGAAGCACGGCGCCAATCACGGAGGAGGACATACTGAAATGAGAACGTTTACTGGGAACGAAAGTTACTTCGAGCATGTGGTGGTTATCGTTGGCAAAGGTAAGAACATGGCTGCTGACACTGATGGATTACGCGTTAAAAGGCAGCTTCGGTTTCTAAAAGGTTGTTTTTGTAGTCGAGCGTTCAGAGCACACAGGTGGTTTTAAAGAGCGGTTCTGGTACTACTGAAGGAAAATGTGCCTTGTCCTTGATACAAAGCTATCTGGGTAAAATAGCTACTGTATAGCATATGGCCGTCTTCATTAGCCAAGTCGGACGTTAAACACCATTTTTTTTCAGCTTATGAATTCCAAACGGCAAGTATGGTATGTCTATTCGTTCTAGACATATACTCATTTACTAGTTTTATATTAGTAACATTCAGATCTGCCTACAGTTACCGTAGAAATATATACGCTTGTAATTCGTAATGATCGGAGGCCCTCTAACTTGCGGGGACCACTAGTTCGCAGTGCATAAAGGCCGTGCTTTAATCCGGTTCTGGTGACAACGACTTAAATTTCTGATATTGTTTTAGTCTCGTGATATTGCCCAATCGTTGATTCATCTTTATGATATTGCCCAATCGTTGTTTATATGTTCATGGTATTACCCAATCGCTGTTTAGATCATGATGGTATTACAAAATCGTTGTTTTATTTTCGTGATTTTGCTCAATCGTTGTTTTATCTCCTTGGCATCGTGTTATACCCGGACAATGTTTTATCTTCATGGCATTGCCCATCCCAGCTGACTTTTGTTTACAATTTACTATAGCTCTGACTAATACTGCCTAATGATATTAAATTATTTTACCTAACTTCGTTATCTAGTATTGCTTCAAATGTGTACTATTTCAAGGTCCTGGACAGTCTGGCGATGACATGGTTTTACCCGCAGGACAATATGTCTATCCATTCAATTACCAACTCCCTGCAGGATTACCATCATCTTTCGAAGGTGATCATGGACGTGTAAGATATTCTTTTGTTGGGGTCATCGACAGACCATGGAAATTTGATCACACTTGTAAAGGAGCTTTTACTGTAGTAGATCCACTGAATTTAAATATGGAGCCAACAGCAATGGTAAGTCTACGTGCATTTCTATTTAGATATACACTGGGGATAGCATCGGGTTTAAAGAATGGAGATCCGTAAAAGATATTAAAGGAAGAGATGCGCCCCAGCTTGTTAGCCTATATGGTGGCTCAGTCAGCAAGTCGATGGCTCGATCCCAGTGTAGGCTGCGACAGTTCCACGGGATCTTCCAGTGTGGTTTTCCCTTGGCCCATGGTTTTCCCTTGGCCCAGGCTGACAAGGAGATCGTCTAGTTGTTCCGAATGGGGAGGGGGCGAATGGTTGCATGACAAGGTCTGTCATTGTGTCAAATGGCGTGGTTTCGATTCCCCGCTTGAATTTGACAAGAAGTAGGACCTCCTGTCCAACCTCGTGAGTTTTTCTCCGGTTTCCCCCCACTGCTAAAGACCCCCTATGCGCAAACGGATTATTAACATAAAATTGAACCATATGTTAGTCCCGAAATGAGCTAGTTTGTGTCGACTGGACGTTTAACCCCATTTTATTGTTATTAACTCATTCCATTTGGAGACTCGCTTAAAATAACAAAGACGATCAATCAAATAAGAACTTGTCTCTTAATGTGTATACGTTAAGACTGTCTTTGAATTCCTTTTTTTTTAAAAAATATATTTAGTCTTTCGTTACATATTACAAAAGGGACAAATGACTTTGAATAAGAAATATGTACAATCTATTAATATTTCAAGAACACAGACTGCTTTAGGATAATGGGAAGAAATTACGAATCCTTTTTTTGTTACACAATTTAGTGGTACTACAGTTTATATTGTATATATTTATTTGAAAGCAACCAGCTGAAGGACGAAATAGTAAAACTTTAGGCTGTCTGTGCTGTACGACTGGTCCTATCAGTGCCGTATTTAGACTTGGAAGACTTGGTTATGTACCTGGAGAATCAATCGGATTATATGGTGAAGTTAATAATGGGAGCGACAGATTAATAACCAGTTCATATATAGAACTAATTATGGTATCTTTTTTGTCTATATCAAAGTTTATTAAATCATGGTCTATAATATTTCCTAACCGAATTGGATGCTTTAATTGTTAAATTGATGAATCTGATGATACAAAAGTACTACAATATGTCAGATATGTCCAGTTTAAAGAAATGAACGTAAATGGGTCGCAACGCAAACTGATTTACATTCAATCGTTTCTGTTTTTACTGTCATTTCAAATCAGTTATGTTCGGCGAAATACGCGAAGAGTGCAAATTGAATGGCAGTCTTGGGCGCCTGGTAGTCCGGTAGTCTTCCCTTGTTGAATATGTTTAGCCTCGTTCATCCAGTCTCTTCATTGCAGATGACACTCTAAAGCATTCTGGCAAGCGATTCGTGTGTCAAGTTTAAAATTTTAATTGTGTCTTAAATACTGGACACGAGAAGCCCATCTTTTTACCGTAAGATGACAACATCAACGTTGATTTAAATTGATCAATAAGACGTGTTTGCAATGTCCAAGACTGTGGATGATATTGAGTTAAAGACTTGTCTAGTTTAAGCATAGCTGTTAATAAAGTTAAGAATTTTAGTTCCACTTTATTATAGATTGACAACCTTGGCGTATATGATTTTAGATCACAGTTAATTACCACGCCAGAATACAGTAAATATCTCTTTGTGTTATAACTATATTTCAGACAGTTAATTACCACGCCAGAACTCGAAGTAAGAGTGTTACAAAATCATTAGCTAGAGTGCAGCATGGGTCCATCGATGGTGGGGACACGGATGTTTGGAATGGTGATTTGTTACACATACCGCCTTTACCACCATCTGGATTAAGAGGGTGCCGGATTATTGATATACAGTACACATTATCAGTAAGTTTGTGTGTACAACGCGTTTACTTCTCATGCGAAGATATGAACTACTTTTGAACTATTGCATTAACTTATTGTCCCCCGCCTTTCGAAGAAAGCAAGGGACTTTTAAAATGGGTCTGTCTGTCTGTTTGTCTGTAGGTGTTTATTAGGTCAATGCATTGATGGAGTTCGAAGATGAGCATTTTCTGCTTAGGGTAACCGGAGATAAGCTATTTGATTGGCGATGCTTTGGGGCATGATAACTTTAGTTCTAATTAAGTGAGAGTAATGAAACTTGGTGTATAGTTTCATTATATCAATACCTTAACTAAGTTCAATAATGAGCATTTTCTGCTTAGGGTAAGCAGAGCGATAAGCAATTTGATTGGCCGAAACTTTGGAATACAATAACTCTCCTTTAATTGAGGTAGAATGTTCAAACTTTGTGTAGGTGTGTGTTAGGTCAATGCCTTGAGGGCGTTCGAAGATGAGCTTTTTTTTTCGGAGGGTAAGCAGAGATAAGTAAGTTGATTGGTCGATGCTTTGGGACACGATAACTTTAGTTCTAATTAAGTAAGAGTGATGGAATTTGGTGTATAGTTTTACTACATTTACTACATGTTCTGCTCAGGGTAAGCAGAGTGATAAGCAATTTGATTGGCCGAGAATTCGGAACACAATAACTCTCCTTTAATTGAGGTGTGAGAGAGAGAAATGGGCTTTAACGTCCACTCGACACAAACTAGATCATTTCGGGACTAACATATGGTTTAATTTTATTTCAATAATTCGCTTGCTTGTAGGGTTTTTTTAGCAGCGGGAGAAAACCGGATTTAATTGAGGTAGAATGTTCAAACTTTGTGTAGGTGTGTGTTAGGTCAAGGCCTTGATGTTGTTCGAAGATGAGCTTTTTTTCGTAAGGTAAGCAGAGATAGCCAATTTGATTGGTCGATGCTTTGGGAGACGATAACTTTAGTTCTAATTTAGTGAGAGTGATGGAATTTGGTGTATAGTTTTATTACATCAATACCATGACTAAGTTTTATCAAGAGCATTTTCTGCTCAGGATAAGCAGAGCGATAAGCAATTTGATTGGTCGAGAATTTGGAACACAATAACTCTCATTCTAATTGAGCTAGAATGTTCACATGTAGGTGTTTATTAGGTGAATGTCTTGATGAAGTTCGAAGATGAGAATTGTCTGCTAAGGATAAGTAGAGATAAGCAATTTGATTGGTTGATGCTTTGGGACACGATAACTTTAGTTCTAGTTTAGTGAGAGTGGGGACACTTGGCGTATAGTTTTACGAGCTTTTTTTCGTAAGGTAAGCAGAGATAGCCAATTTGATTGGTCGATGCTTTGGGACACGATAACTTTAGTTCTAATTAAGTGAGAGTGATGAAATTTGGTGTATAGTTTTATTACATCAATACCTTGACTAAGTTCGATCATGAGCACTTTCTGCTCAGGGTAAGCGGAGCGGTAAGCAATTTGATTGACCGAGACTTTGGAACAGAGTAACTTTCCTTGTAATTTAGGTAGAATGTTCAAACTTATTGTAGGCGTTCATTAGGTGACTGTCTTGATCTAGTTTAATGATAAACATTGTCTGCTTACGGTAAGAAGAGATAAGCACTCTGATTGGTTGATGCTTTGGGGCACGATAACTTTGTTTATAATTAAGTGAGAGTGATTAAACTCCGAGTATAGCTTCATTATATCATTACCCTAAGTTCGATGATGAGAATTTTCTGCTTAGACTGAGGAGAGATAAGCAATTTGATTGGTTAAGACTTTAGAACATAACAAATCTGCTTTTAATTGAGATAAAATGTTTAAACTTGATGTGAAATGAAATGAAATGAAATGGGTTTTAACGTCCTACTGTTCTGCTCCTATACTGGGCTAATGAAGACGGGCATACGCCATACAGTGTGCTATGAGGGAAATTTTGCCCGGGCAGCGGCACCATCGCCTACTCTTATATTCCAACTGCCAAGGGATATTTTACGTGCATTCCAATGTATACACGGGACCTCGGTTTTTCGTCTCATCCGAAGGACTAGACAGCTGTCCTTGTCAGGCCCTCTGGTAGATTTTCAATAGATGAATGTCTTGACTGAGTTCAATGATTAACATTTCCAGTTAACGCTAAGGAGAGCTAGCTAAGCAATTTCATTGGCCAATGCTTTAGGATAAGATAACTTTGATTCTATCTGATAGAGATTTATGAAACTTAGTGCATAGTTGATAATCAGTTTGATTGCATCATACTTTTGAAAAAATAAATGTGCGTTAAATTAAAATGTGTCATCTATTTATTTTGGGGTTTCGGCGGGTGACATCAGCCTCGCTGTTGGCTTGTTTCCTTCTGGTTAGCTGTTCATTGGAAACGCATTACAGGTTTGGATGAACTATATTATACTCATTATTGCACCTTTTCAACTTTACAGTTGACGGTAGACCCTTCTGGTCCATCTATGGACTTGGTGGTTCCTATAAATATTTTAATTGGTTCCATACCTCTACAAGCAGCTGTAGCACAATATGGACCACCAGCACCTATGGGACCACCATCTGATGGCAATATACAAAATCTTCCATCAACTGTCCCCTCCGCACCCAGTATGCGTAAGTATATAATATAGTGCATATTACATTTGATGAAATCCCCAGAACATGTCTTTTTATCTCATTTGTAACATCCATATATATTTATATAACATTGTATAAATTTATAAAGAAAGAAATATAATAGAGATAAAATGTGGTTTGACGTCCACTCGACAAGTGTTGGATCAAAACAATGCTAATTGAGACAATGCAGAGAGAGAGAGAGAGAGAGAGAGAGTCTAACGTCTTACTGTTCCGCTCAGACTGGGCTAATGAAGACGGGCATACCGCCAAGTGATCTTTTACGTGCACATTAACGTGTACACGGGACCTCGGGTTTTCGTTCAATCCAAGCGACTATACATTGTCCCTTGCCAGGCCTGCACCACTGACAAGGAGAAGCCACGTTGGGAATAACCGATGTACTTTCTCCGCCAACGCAGGATCGAACATGGGGCCTCCAGGTTAGCGAGCCATGCACTTTGGCCACCATACTTAGTGTCACAGACAGGCAGGGACTCGAGACCTCGCCAGATCTTATGATATAACGTCCACGCGTTAAATCATTTGGCCAACCAAGCCACAACATTTATATGGCATTTTATCGTAAGGAAATTACAAATTTTACCCAAAAACAAGCTTGTTACCAAGGGGTTACTAGCTACGAAACTCCCAAACCGTAAAAGTGATAAAAATAAACATATCTGTGAAATATGAATCCGAAAAGAATGAAATTCGACTTCTTCTTTTTTCAGCACCACCATCCTATGCAGAAAGTGCACTTGGTAAAGTAGATATTCGGACAGAAAACGACAATGAACACACGCGTGGAAACATGGAGTTTGCACCTGTTTATACCTATTATAACTGGAACCGACAAACTCAAGACAATACACGGACGTAATTGTATTCCAAATGAACTTGAGCACGTGTATGAAGTTTAATAACAAATGAACATGAACATGTGTATGGCGTGTAACCACAAATGAGCTAGAAGACGTGTATGAAGTTAAATAACAAATTAACATATTTTCACTATTTGCATAACCAGTTAGAATCAACATAACACAAAATTCCAGGTGTTTTTTCATTTACTAATGCAAATTATTTTCTGGGCCGGGGTATTTAGCAGTTACAATACGGGTAATCGTTTAATACACTACCAGAAAGTATTTCTCTATTACTTTTTCAATATATTAGTTATTCACTTCCCTGGCACATTAATAATTATAGGATTAGTCATAATCGTTTAGGAATAAATTTTCTGTGTGACTGATTCGATCCAAAATTAACAACTGATTGGAAAGCGCGTTTTCCTAAGATGGCACTTCATATTTGTGTTTTAGGTGTACAAGGAAAAACCCAAATCCTCAGGCCGATGACTCGGACATTCGGGAAAAGTATTTTGAATAGTTGATTCTAGATCACTGGAACCTGTAACTTTGAAGGGGACGAATGGAATAACCCGCCCCACTTACCAGAGGCGGATCCTAATTTTCGACAGTGCCCTTTTTTACTGCTGAAAGTGCCTTTTCTCAGACCCAAATATGTCTGTTCCCAACCCGTTGCAGGAATCCCAAATGACTCAAACCATCGACTCAACACACCAGTTTGGTGTAATTAATGCTTCTACTTTCAAGCGAATTCTTGTTGTTTAGCTGACGGTGCCCTAATCCTATAGAGTGACTATAGACAGAAATGAAATGAAATGGGGTTTAACGTCCTACTGCTCTGCTCCTAACCTGGGGTAATGAAGACGGGCTAATGAAGGGGGAAATTTTGCCCGGGCAGCGGCACTATCGCCTTCTCTTATATCAAATTCCAACTGCCAAGGGATCTTTTACGTGCATTCCAATGTATACACGGGACCTCGGTTTTTCGTCTCATCCGAAGGACTAGACAGCTGTCCTTGTCAGGCCCTCCGTTCTGCATCACTGACAAGGGGGAACCACGCCGGAAAATCTGGATGAACTTTCTCGGCCAATGCAGGGATCGAACACCCGACCTCCAGGCTAGCGAGCCAGCGCCTTACCCACTTAGCCACGTGATCCCCGACTATAGACAGACATCAATGATAGCATCTGGTGAAATCGGCGGCGTATACACTCATGCCTATCACCGAAGCGCATGAGTGCAACTTGATGTAGCATTGTTTCATGTGTGGACAGTACACAGTACACGTTCCCAGGCTGAAATAGTGAAGCGGCTAGGGAATAGTCTCGTCTTTTTTTGCCTCACTCGCCTTGACAATTTTCGAGTCGCATGTTCAACTGGCTTTTTTGCTCGATTTTAAAGCCCTTTTTTTCAACGATTTCCGAACGTTTACTTAGACGAAAATATCAGCCGAATAGCTCTTGGAATGGCTACAGATGCAAGGAAATGACGGATAATTTTCTTGCCCCCCCCCCAAAAAAAAACCCCCTCTCAGCGGCGTGCCCCGTCTCCGCGGTCAGTGCCCTAATTTTGCGGCGCCCCCCCCCCCCTTTTCAAAATTCCTAGATCCGCCCCTGCTTACACTCGTTTTCATTTATGGACGGCGTACGGGAACGACATAGACCTATGATGTTGGTGTAGTATATTCTCAAATTACGACTCTTTCACCAAAGACAATAAAGGAGTTAAAAATAACTCTAACACTAACCCGTAGGGGTTAAAAAAATATCTGTCCAAGTCATTTATTACAAGACTGGTGTAAAACAGCAGACCAAGTATACGTCCAGTCTTCCCGAACTGCGATTTGAAAACGATTTGCCCCGAGTTATGCAAATCTCTTCATGGCGGAGTGGGGCAGGGAGGTTCTGCCACTCTGTCCATTAAAACCAGATTTCTATGGGCGGTTTTTACATGACGTTTTCATCGTCTGGACGTACACACTAGACGAATTTTGGGTGTTTTTCAACATCCTGAACAAACATCATCCATCTGTCAAGTTAACCGCAAATGTAAGTCATAACAGCATAGATTTCCTTGACACTACCGTTTTTAAAACTAGCAACACCAAAATCACGGGCCAATTGGAAACTGGAATATATTTCAAAGAAACCGACACACGTCAATTATTGTTCAAAAGCTCCTTTTATCCAAAACATACGTTCTCTGGCATCATAAAATCTCAGATTCTCCGTTTTCATAGGATATGTACTCAGAAGACCGACTTTGAGTCAGCATGTACATTTGTATTTGGCAAACTAAGGGAAAGGGGATACTCCAAACGATATCTCCGACTTATAAAATATAAAACTCTAGCTAAACTTGCCGCCAAAGAAACAAATAATATGCAATCAGCAGTTAAAACCAAAACCTGTGGCCACCCAAGATGCCAAACGTGCAAAATCATAACAAAACATCTGGCACACAATTCCCAATATTAGATCAACTTTCATGCAGTAGTTTAAACATAATTTATCTAATTTCATGTAGACAATGTGGCAAGCAATACGTGGGGGAGACACAAAATGCACTTCGGGAAAGTATCAACGGTCACCGGTTAGATATAGTCACCCCAAAAGACAAACCGGTCTCAATTCACTTCAACCAACCAAATCATGACATTTCTGATCTCATTGTCACGCCAATAGAAATGGATACCATTTCAAGTCATTTATTACAACACGGGCGTTAGAACAGAAGACAAAAACAAAGCGTAAAATTTGAAAATAACACAAGTGTTATAGGCTTTTTTTATTTTCCACCAGTGTTAACACTGGTATTCGACTAGTTTAGACACTGGTGTAAACACTAGTGCTAATTCGAGAAGCTCAGGTTAAGGCACTAAAAAGAACACCAGTTATACACCATTACATCCCACTTCTACTCGTTGCCACTGGCAACCTTTTATAAAACTGTCCTGTTTATTTTCAATACATGCTTAAAAGTATCCGTGTATCATATATATACAGAAAGAGTACTGTTCATTTCTGATACACGGATACTTTTATCCTGTTTTAGATACCTATCAAGCAATAAGTAGCGGACGTTTAGTCCGACCCAGATAGCAATTGATAACGATGGCTCTAATGCACAAGAATAATGTACATGAAACAACTAGTCAAAATCATAGTAACAAAACAAACCGGGGGGAACGACATGGCAGTTCAAAAACATATACAATGACATTAAATTAACATGTCAAGATATTACAAAAATCAATTATTATACATATCGATTGGCATCTATTTCATAATTTGGTTTGATTTATATTAATATGCAAAATATATAAATTAGAATATTGAATAATTATTTTAATTAATTGTGATGATAGAAGGCGCAGTTCTCTTGCTGGACACTTCACGGGCATTGAAAATAAGCAGGATGAAAAAAAAAACGCCTAGAAAGTCACAAACTTTATTACAAATAAATTTCAACGGAAGAACCATCCGCCGATGCATACTTTCACCAGGAATGACCCACGTTTCGCATTTCCTTTACACTACATTTAATAATATCGCAGTCCTCTACGCCATAGACAAGTTGTTTTGACGATGTGGTCTAAAGAAACACGTGATTGTTTTACGCTCGAGTATCTTAGCAAGACGCACGTGTAAATACTACTCAGGTCGTCTCTCCACTGCGAAATCATTCTACGATGAAATGTAACGTGAGGCTCAGAAAGGGATAAATGAAAGAGCAGAAAGTATTTGTCACTTTTCGTTTGAAACGACTCGATAATAAATACTATTTTTCACATTTTGCTTCACAATACTCGATAGAAATGTGATGTAAGTAACTTATTAGCACCTTTCCTCGGTGTATCGGCGAATATCAGGACAGTTTTGGTCGGGAGCTGCCTCGGCTGGGCCCCTCGACCAAAACTGTCCTGATATTCACCGATACACCTCGGAAAGTGTGCTAATAACTATTACTTACAACACAACGCATTTTTTTTAATTCACCGCGTATTTGACAACCTTATCGGTTATTTAAAAGGAACAGAAAGATTTTATGATATACGTTTATATACGACCACATGGAAATGCAGTCGTATATTGCAGTCGCCCCCGTTCATCCCTCCGCCCGCAGGTCCGTATGTCGTCCACAATTTCCTGTGAAAACACTCTACAATCTGATTGTTTTGAAATTGATGTATGTTGTTTACATTAGTGAGATGAAAATTCCTATTTAATTTCAATAATTTCCATTAATTTCTTATGGCCCTTGTTTCACTTTGTTGAACGTCGTGAACGATCTAACAACAAAAGGTATCATCCAATCTGTATGAAATTTATATACATCATTCAAATTTGTGAAACAAAGAAGCCTATTGAAGTTTAGCAATTTCCGTTAATTACGTCTAGATTTATGGCCCTCGTTTCACTTTATTAGACCTTATGCATGCTCGAACGGCAAAAGTTATCATCAGACCTGTATGAAATTTATATGCATCATCTAAATGACTGAAATGAAGAAGCCAATTACTTCTAGAGTAACCTTCTGAACCCTCAAACACCGAAAATTAGAATGTGAAGCTTGCTGAGGGGAACGTTTAAGCGAGAAACGGTGACTCTGACCTGACCATCCCATCCTTGACTACCAGTGAAGGCATTACCCTCTCGGTTCACCATATTTTTTGTGTGAGTGAATGGGGCGGGGGAGAGGAGGGGGTAAGAATTTTGTTGAAGTTCGAGAGGCGGCAACCGTTTACCTTCTATGGGCAGTGGCGGTGCCAGCCGTCGGTGATTGGAGGGGCATAGCTGGGGCAAAGTCCAAGGTTAAGGGGGCAAAGGCACGAGGTTCCCCCAGAAAATTTTGAAAAACAGGTTGCGGAAATGCAGCCTGGCAGTATTTCAGGCACTGATCGATGAGGTAAGTGTCAAACGAACGGACTTGCGAATCACGACGAAGCCCACTCACGAACGTCAAAGTAGGGAGTCCTCCCCCAGAAAATTTTGAAAAATAGACTGCCGGAAATGCTGTCTTACAGTATTCTGTCAGGCACCGATCGTCGAGATCGCCTGATCACTAGTTTATCCGAATAGAGAACAAAATGTCAAACGAACGGACTTGCTCAACGAATTCCCCTTGTGAGCGCCAAAGTAGCGAGTCCATTGGGGACCTCGCCAAGAAAATTTTGAAACATAGACTGTCGGAAATGCTCTACAACATACAAGTTTATGACTGAGTGGGGATGTGGAATTTATTCACCGTAGAAGGTATTGATTACCGAAACGTATCACGAATACTTTTTTTATTTTCTAAAATTATTGGGGGGGGGGGGGCAATGAGAAGGAACAC